GATGGGCCCGCACTCCGGACACGGCCATCCGCACGCCGGTCACCCGCACACCGGACATCCTCACTCGAGTCTCGCCGCGGCCGCCGCCGCCCCCTTTTACGCCCAAAACGTCGCCATGATGTCCTCTTGGCGCGCCTACGACGGAGCTGGATTTCAACGTGCCTCGCCCTACGGTTCGTATCCTTCTTTTCCCCGAGCAACGATACGTATTCGTCGCGATCTACCGTGCGCGCTCTCGAATCGCTTTCGAATCGCTTTCGAATCGCTTTTGAATCGCTTTTGAATCGCGGACAAGAAACACGGACGAGCAGAAGCGGTAGAGACTTTAGAGACGTTAACCAGACTAGAGGGCAACGGAAAAGCGAACGCGATGGCTATCGAGGATAAGAGGAAAAAACCGAGCACTTTTCTGGTCGACGAACGCAGGACCACGCGGCGGGCCATCTGCGACGGGTAAGCGATAGCGGCCTCCTTCAAAGGAGCCACGGCGCGGCCCTCGAGTGTTTTGCGGTGCATCTCGCGCTCCTCTTCGCGACCGTTTCTTTTCTCGGCGCGTCTATCCTCTCGACGTCTCTAAAGGGTTTCTGGATAGGTGCGCGCGTTCCTCCATCGGGCCAAAAGGGCTAGCGAATCGTGCGGCAAAACCGTTTCTCCGTGCTTTCAGATACCGCGATGGACTTCCAATTCGGCGAGGGTCGCGAGTGCGTCAATTGCGGCGCTATATCGACGCCGCTATGGAGGAGGGACGGCACCGGGCATTATCTCTGCAACGCGTGCGGACTCTATCACAAGATGAACGGAATGAACAGACCGTTGATCAAGCCCTCGAAACGACTGGTGAGTCGTCGTTTCTTTATCCGTTTCCGAGTTTTCTCGCGAGATCCGTCGCGAGATCCGTCGCGAGGTCCACGAGTCCGAACGGACGTCGAAATTTCAGACGGCGACCAGACGGTTGGGACTGTGCTGCACCAACTGCGGCACCCGCACCACCACCCTTTGGAGGCGGAACAACGAGGGCGAACCGGTGTGCAACGCCTGCGGTCTCTACTTCAAGCTTCACGGTGTCAACAGACCTCTGGCCATGCGGAAAGACGGCATTCAGACGCGAAAACGAAAACCGAAGAAAACGCCGGAACCGAACGCCAGACCGTCCACCGGCGACCAAGAGACGGCCACCGTTTCTACCGCTTCGTCCCCGTCGACGGGTGAGTTTCTTCGCTCTCGCGTCGCGTTCGTTTGTTCGTCTTCTCGCGAAGCAACACGGAACCCTGCGTTCTTATCCGCAGAACTGAAGAACAATCAGCAGCAACAATCGCAGCAGCAACAGCAGCAGCAGCAGCATCATCGTCAAATCGAAACGTCGAAATCGTCCGGCGGCGTAGCGTCGACCAGTTCGTCCGATAGACCGGTGTACTTGGGGCACACGTCGCTTTTAGCCACCGGAAGCGTAGCCACCGTGAAGACGGAACCGCGTAGCTGCGACGGGATCGTCGGCCAACCGTACTCCTCTTATTATCAGCATCCGCACCAGCTCGGAGTGGCGACTAGCGAGCATCAACAGCAAACCTACTACGCTAGTCAAGAAGCGCCCTATCATCATCAGCATCACGTGACCGCGGCTGCCAAGTTGCTCGCTTCCTCCTAATCGAACGTCCGCGAACGAACCGATTCCCGACGACCGATATACTCTAGCCAACGAACGTTCCTCGGCTCGAGCCGTTCGAGCTCCGAACGACTTCGAACGAGAACGCGGATTTGGCCACGCTCTTTTCACCGCGACCGCGCGTTCAAAGTACTTAATTGTAAATAACTATGTATCGAAGTTCCGTGAAATCGAAAGACTGGATATCTAAAGCGTATCGACGATTCGGTTGACTCGTCGCGTTTCCACGCGTCGTACACGATAAATCGATTCGTTTACCTCGGAAAAGCAACGACGGAGCTCGCTGCACGCCGCCCACCGTCCTCTGTCCGTCGCGCCGATCCAAAAACGTCTCGTCCGAATCGATCGATTTTTCTTTCCTGTACAGTTCCTGTATCGTTAATGTTTTTTTTTTTCGACGCGCAATAAAAAGAATAGCTTTCGACCTTGCTTCATCGAATGCTTGGCGAACCAGAAACGCGTTATCGACCTCCTTGCCGCGCGACTCGCTATTATTTCCTAACCCTCTCGAAGCTGTCGAGTCGCGACCAACGTGCTTGCTTGCCTACCTACGCTCGCGCGATTCTCGACGGCCAAACAATCGTTCGGACCTCGTCAGTGCTCGGTAAATATTATCTTTTCGCGGCGACGGCGACTCGTCGTCGTCGAGTGAACTCAACCCCCGTACGATACTTCGCTTCCGTTTCGTCGACGCGCGCTCGTCGATAAACCAAACTACCCCGACACCGCGACCAGTCCTTCTTCGTCGCCGATCGTCGCTGGATCGTTCTCTCGGTTTCGCTAGCAGCGGAGATATGGGTAAGTCGAGCGTCGAAACCGAAACGGTCGCGCGGACGAGATCGCGAACTCGTTTCGTCGCGTTTCGTTAATTAATGCGCTTTCCACCGAGGCAGGAAGAACGCTGCCCAGTCCGGTCGATTGCAAGGTTTGCGGGGACAGATCCTACGGCAAACATTACGGAATCTACTGCTGCGACGGTTGCTCCTGTTTCTTCAAGCGATCCGTGCGTCGCGGAGCACTGTTCGCCTGCATAGGTTCGTTTCCACGATCACGCTCGCTCGTTCGCGACACCGTCCGCCGTAAATCGGTCTCGATCTTTTCAGCCGGCACGGGGACGTGCGCCGTCGACAAAGCGAGACGCAATTGGTGTCCGCACTGCCGTTTGAAGAAGTGCTTCACCGTTGGCATGAACGCGGCAGGTAAGACCATTCTCTCTTTCTTCCTCGCGATCTTGCCTCTCCGATTTCTCCGATTTTTCGTTACGATTCCGATACGTTTCGTCGTGAAATAGCGCTTCGTTAACGACGCGACCGTTCGATTGCTCTCGCGAACCAAAGAAAAGTCGGATCGCGCGACCGATACCGTGTACAACGCGCGAATCGCGTGCGGCCTAAGCTTCTCTCGTTAGAGAGAATACGCGAAACGCTAGATCTATTATGTACCTATTAATTTTATCGTAGGTTCTCGAAGAATCGAAAGCGAACGTTACACTGCTCTCGCCCCTAGTTAATCGTTTAGCAATGATTCGTGGCGAAGTAAAAATTGCGCGATAAGAAGGAAGGCGCGACAAATTGCCGTGATTTTCCTCAATTTTCTTTGCCATTAGCTGCGTATATCGCACCGCGAAGCGGCCTCGCCGTTTCTTTCGACGACCCGTATCGATTCGGTTTGCTTCGTAACGTAATTATGGGGCATACTGCATTATCCATACTCCGTAACGCATGGAATCCGTCGTCTAACAAGAACATTAGAGGAAGTGGTCTAAATACGGGCTAGTTTACTCCGGTAGGAATAGTACGAAACTATGATTCGGAAAGAAAAGAACCGATTATATTCGTTATCTTGTAGAACGCGTGATTTTATTTATTTCGCTACCTTCAAACATTTTACTGTCGTATTTATTCTATTTTGTTAAGCATAATCTGTTGAACCGGGAGGTAATTTGTTAAGTCCGCTATATGGCTGACATTGAAGGATCGTTTTGTCATAAGTTATGTAACGAATTCCATCGTGTAGTAACGACTGTCGTTGCTTTAAGCATCCCCGAGTAAATGGTCTAAATGACGGCTACGTAAGTACCTTGTTCCACCGATTATTTAGTATTTAGACCACTTTTTAGTATATTACGAGATACTTACAACTATTCTAAAGTGTATTCGATAAAATAAAAGAAAGTGTTGGAGGGAAGAGAGCTTCGAACCAAGTGTTTTTATCTTATATCTAGACATACAGTGCTTGTGCAGGTGTTGGCAAACATATTTACATTTGTGACCATCGTATCTTAACCATCGGCATTTAAATTTATTGTATAAACACTTTCAATATATTTTTCAATATTTCAAACTTAATATATGCTACTCGCTTTTCTTTTCTTTCGAGTTATTCCAAGTATAGCCCATATTTAGACGGTATCTCGCTGTTATTTTAAATATATAATTGTTAGGAAACATTAGAATCGTTTGGTTCGTTTTAACTACGCGTTAGAGATCTTTGACAGACTTGGCGATACATTCTGGCATAAAAGTGGCAGCTCGTATTTCCACCGCTTCCTCTAATGCTCGCTTGGTCGTTGCCAAAACATATAGAAATTGGTTAATCGGTAATAGACGCGTTACGGAAAGTCGTACATCGCTGCGTCGAGGACAGAATCGCTGTAGATAATTATGTAATAAAAACGACGAGCAAATAATCGTTTACTTACAATTAACGATAATATATCGAGTACAAAATAGGAAAATTGTTGATTCAACGAAACAATCTCGCGCGAAAGGCTTGCTTCGACTCCATTTCAGGGCCAATTCCGTGCCGTCGCAACGATATTTTTCGTTACCGAAGAGCGTTATATTATACGTTCAAATTATTTTCTTAACTACGATGTAAAATCACGGAACTTACGTCGCATCTAAACGCAAACGCGAAATTTCATACTAGTTAACGAATCCCGATCAATTCGAAAGGAAACGACGGTCGCGAAGAGGGTTAAGTAACGATTCGGAGCGTCGCGGACGAAACGAGATGCAAACATTGCCGCGTGCCACTCGTCATGGACGTAATTTTGTAGCCGTGCTCGTTGCCGACGTGAAAAGGTACGCGAGAACGAGAAACGATGTTCGATCGGTTTCGCGAGAGCGGGACTATTTTTATATCGTTACCGAGAAGCGTTCGATCGCGCGCACGCGACTTTGTTACTTTCGATTACTTTGCTCTCGAGACGACTATTAAAATTCCTCGATGGAATCTGAAATCGTCGGACGGGCGCGCTTTATTCTCGTCGATCGGTTTTCAGCCGTTCAAGAGGAGAGAGGACCGCGCACCGTTCGGAACAAGATCGCAGCCGTGCACGGAATCGACTCGCGAAATTCTTATGCGCGTAAGCCGTCGCGAGCAGCGTCGTCTGTTGCCGTTTTCGAGAAGGAATCGACCGCGACAACGATCACCGCTACCGGAAGCTCGGACTTTCTTCGGACATCGACGAGAATCGGCTTCGCGGGTAACGAAACGGCGCCGTCTTCGAACGGCGTTAACGACACTAGATTGCTTGCAGGAGCCACGACGCGACACGAAATCGCCGCTCAGATATTTCTCGCGACGGTGCGAGCCGCTCGACGGCATCGAGAATTCTCGATGCTCGATTTCCAAGAACAGAATGGAATTCTTCGAAAGGGATGGGCCGCGGCGTTCGTACTGCGCGCCGCGATTTGGCCGCTGGATTTGACCACTTTTTGGCAAACCGACGTCCTCTCGGTCGGCGGGGGTGCGCGTGAAATTTTGCTCGCGGCACGCTCCACAGTCTTCGACTTGCGACTCGATCGAATCGAGATTTCGATCCTGGAAACCTTGTCGCTCTGCAGACCCGGTAATCTTGTCTTTCCATAGCGAGATCTCTTGCGTCTCCCGTGACTGACAGTGTCCGTTTCTGGAAATCTCCGCAGAGATCGCCGAAACGACCAACGGCTTCCGGCTCGCGTCGAAAGCGACGGACTCTGCGCTGGAAACGCTTGTTCGACATCTCGCCGCGCGAACGTCCTCGCTCGCCGAGCGATCTCGCAGGCTGGCCAAAATCATGTTGCTGCTACCCGTTCTGACGGCTTGCTGTCCCAGACGTTTAGCCACGGATCTCTTCGCGCCTATCATCGGACGCGTCGATTTCGAAAAAGTGATAGCGGCTGTGCGCTGATCGAGATCCACCGTTCCAACGACGATCGAACGAGGAACAAAAGGTTTCGATGAGGAAGGAAAGAAACTCGATTTTTATTTTCTTTGGCACTTTATTGACGCAAGTGATATGTACAATTACTTAAAGTAATATGGCGCATCGGTATAAAATAGAGCCGTAGCAACTCGTGGCACGCGAGCTAGTCGAAAATTTCGATCCGAACGCGCCGATCGTCTTTCGGTTATTGTCGATAAACGTCGGTAACGAAGGGTAGAATTTGTGAGCGATACGACGCTTGTAAGAGCGTGTTTGTCCGACGACCGGATCCCCGAACGAGATTCTCGGCTATCTCGACGAGAGTACTCTTTACGGCTCTATAGCACGTAGAAAACGATGAGAAAGCATCGATGAAAACGAGGCGTCGCGAAAGAAACGCGACTCGTTCCTTACGCTTCGCTTTGAACCAACTTGTCGACGCGAGCACGACTAGCGTTAATCGTCGACGCTTACGAATAAGAAAAAAAGGTTTAAAAACGCTACTGTAATAACGGAAGCTCTATACGGACACGCGCGCGCGTGAATGATCGTTAGCGACGAATCGATATAAAGAATTCTCGATGCTCGATTTCCAAGAACAGAATGGAATTCTTCGAAAGGGATGGGCCGCGGCGTTCGTACTGCGCGCCGCGATTTGGCCGCTGGATTTGACCACTTTTTGGCAAACCGACGTCCTCTCGGTCGGCGGGGGTGCGCGTGAAATTTTGCTCGCGGCACGCTCCACAGTCTTCGACTTGCGACTCGATCGAATCGAGATTTCGATCCTGGAAACCTTGTCGCTCTGCAGACCCGGTAATCTTGTCTTTCCATAGCGAGATCTCTTGCGTCTCCCGTGACTGACAGTGTCCGTTTCTGGAAATCTCCGCAGAGATCGCCGAAACGACCAACGGCTTCCGGCTCGCGTCGAAAGCGACGGACTCTGCGCTGGAAACGCTTGTTCGACATCTCGCCGCGCGAACGTCCTCGCTCGCCGAGCGATCTCGCAGGCTGGCCAAAATCATGTTGCTGCTACCCGTTCTGACGGCTTGCTGTCCCAGACGTTTAGCCACGGATCTCTTCGCGCCTATCATCGGACGCGTCGATTTCGAAAAAGTGATAGCGGCTGTGCGCTGATCGAGATCCACCGTTCCAACGACGATCGAACGAGGAACAAAAGGTTTCGATGAGGAAGGAAAGAAACTCGATTTTTATTTTCTTTGGCACTTTATTGACGCAAGTGATATGTACAATTACTTAAAGTAATATGGCGCATCGGTATAAAATAGAGCCGTAGCAACTCGTGGCACGCGAGCTAGTCGAAAATTTCGATCCGAACGCGCCGATCGTCTTTCGGTTATTGTCGATAAACGTCGGTAACGAAGGGTAGAATTTGTGAGCGATACGACGCTTGTAAGAGCGTGTTTGTCCGACGACCGGATCCCCGAACGAGATTCTCGGCTATCTCGACGAGAGTACTCTTTACGGCTCTATAGCACGTAGAAAACGATGAGAAAGCATCGATGAAAACGAGGCGTCGCGAAAGAAACGCGACTCGTTCCTTACGCTTCGCTTTGAACCAACTTGTCGACGCGAGCACGACTAGCGTTAATCGTCGACGCTTACGAATAAGAAAAAAAGGTTTAAAAACGCTACTGTAATAACGGAAGCTCTATACGGACACGCGCGCGCGTGAATGATCGTTAGCGACGAATCGATATAAATCGAGTAAAGAAATTTCAACTGTTCGAAGCGCTGTGTGAAAATTTACGGATGAAAATTATCTTTATGATTTGGTGTTCGTTTAAACTGATTTAAGTCGGTGTAACGCCAGCCAGGAACGTTATTGCGCGACGTTACCGCGACCGCGTATCGAACTCGAAACGATATCGCCGCTCGTAAACGTTGTAAGCTTAATTTCTTTCGAAAGTATCGCGTACAAAGAGACGCGAGCGCGCGTTATCTCGGCGAACGTACTGCGCCTCGAGTAATGCCATCGGTCGATAAACCTACGGTACGCGACCGACTCGAAGATATACGGGTTCTTCGCGTCGTAAACGCGCGGTTAACGTTAGTAATACTTCTTTTTGTACTTTCGATATCTTTCTTCCTCGGAATGTCTGTGTAACTGGCTCAAAAGATCGCTCGGTACATACCATAATTTATCCGCGTTAACGAGAAGAGCTTCCGTCACTTGACAGCATATGGCAGCCATGTTAACCTGAGCGCTCAAGTCGGTACGATCACGGGGATGGATGTATCGCGGCGGAAACAAAGACGGCGCAACGATCATGGCAACGTTATGGATCGACATTTTATTCGATCTCTGATTCTCTACGACCAATCTTAAAAAATTCACTAACGCTTTTAAGGTACAACGATGTTCCGTCGGTAGTAATAGCACCAGCAAGTTCAACGAATACGACAACTCTCGACGATCCTTCATTCCTGTACCAACAACCAGAACAAAAAGAAAATAAAGACTTTTATCGAATTCGTCGGAAAGGTTTCGAGAAAAGGTGCGCGTTTCGACCCACCTCGATATCGATCGATCGATACGACGGGTCTCTCGTTCGTTCGCGCGAGACTATTCACCGTCTCGCGGTAAGTGTTTCGTCGTTCGTTACTTACCGTGGCTTTGGTAGAAGGCGTCGATAAGTTCAACGGTGAGCAACGGTTGCGGCAGATCGCGCAGCAACTTTTTCAAAACAGCCGACAGGTCGTGACACGATATACGTTTGAACAACTTGTCCGTTTCTTTGGGTTTAGAGTAGAAATCCGTTTCCAACTGCGCGCATATCGATTCGACCTGAACACAACGACGACGATAATTTATTCGAAATCCACGAGAAATCTCTGCGATATCTTTTTAACGATTACGATCAACTGGAAATAAATTGTACTTTTTGCTTGTGTCCTCCGACGCGAAGAATCCCCTCCTCCTTTACGCCGCGTTTCGTTAATTCGTTTAGGATCTTTTGAAACACTAGCGGGATACTGCTTTCCTCGGACGTCAGCTGACTGTCTCGAAGCAACAAAGTCGATAACGACGCGCCAAACAAGTTTCCAGCTAAGAATACGATAACGTTAAACGATTATTAAAATTGATTTCGGGATCGAGAGCTCGTCATCCGACATTTATGCGAACCTTTCGTCTTACGTTTGTTTGGTTTTCGTTTCTTCAACGGTATATTATATTTATCGAAAACCGCGCTGAGTTCGAGCCACAAAAGTGGCTGTAACCTGGTAAAATCTCGTTGGGTCAACGCTTCTATTCCTAATCGGTCCTGTACGTCGTCGGACGACGCGAGCGATTCCGATTTCCACGCCTGCGGCTTTACTTCGTTCGCTCGACACATTTCCTCGAAACTCAAGTGACCGTGGGACGAGGTTCGATTCAAAGGATGCGTTATCAAACCTTCGTCCTGGGGCCTCGTCAATCCGTACAGGCTGCTGTGACTTCGAGTTACCGTTGCGTGACTGCCCGAGTTTCTCCTAAAATTTCGTACGTCGCGAGAACAATATTTCGCCGATTATCGAAATTCTCTGAATTTGATATTACCTCGTTGTCGAATCCTTCGAAGCGTTCAATTTTTTAACGGATTCGTTACCTAAACTCGTAATGTTCGCCACTTCGCTTGGATCGCTACCGCTTCGTCTTTGTACGATGGGTTTTGAAACGTGTACAGTCCCCAATCTGTGGTATCCCGTTAGCTGAATACCTTCTGCAATGAAAATAGAGAGAGTTCTCTATTCACCGACTATCGTTTAAATGGATCACGAATCGAACGATACCTGAATCGTTGGCAACGTCTCCTCGCAACCAATTGCCGGCGCGCCTAAAAATTTCCTGAACGGGTAACGAAGTCGATGACGGCGGTGCTACTGTACCGATCGGTATAGGCGGTGCGCTCGGAGTTCTGCGCACGGTTTCTTTCTCCTCGCTTGGTACTCGTTGAAACACCGACACAAAATTTGGAACGGTAGCACTGTGGAAAATAGGAACGGTATTAACGAGCAACGACGTAACGACGAAATAAAAATTCTCTTACGCTGTATGATGATCGTCGATGGAAGCAACCGTTGGCGGTGACGGAGGCGATGCGCTCTCGGGTGTCGCTCCTGGTACAGAATCTAACGAATCGGGTGTAGCGCTACGCGATCTTGTCCCGGTACTGGATACCTGAAACGCGATTCGATCGTCATGGCACACTTTCTTACCGTTTGCTGCTTTCTGTCGCGATAGTCGATCAATTACCTCAACATCCTTGAACACGTCTCTGATGTCTGGTTTACGAACTCGTTGACGTTGATTGAAACGTTGTTTTACCGTATGATTAAGAGATTTTACGCGACGTTTTACTGCTTCAGCCTGTGCTCGAGACAAAGGACGTAACGCAGCACCCAATTCTTCTGGTTGTACTTCTCTGCCCGCTTTCCATGCTTCGGTTAATTGACCCAAACCTGCTGTCCGCAACCATTCGGCTTCCTCTTCGCCTTCTTGTAAAATTCATCAAGAGACAACAGTTTACTCCCTTTCTAAAACTCTCTTGGTCGATGTCAAAGAAACGTACCATCATAGTTACGTGGACATTCTTCCTCGAGGTAATCGTCCAACAGTTTAGTTTCTTCCATCATTTTTTGATATTCTTGCCAATAATCGGAAAGGTGATTGTCACCTTCCATGTATATAGTTGTGTGCGATTTCTCCATGATTTTTTTAATTTTCTACACTTCTTCAATAATACGTAGTTTCTACACTTGTTTCTATAAAATGTAAGCTTAAAATCGATGCCCGTTCGTATCTGAAAATAAAACGTTATTTTTATTTTATTTGTCGCGTAGAAATTTATCAGCAAAAAAAATTTGCGATAACAACTATTAAAAAATTACCTGTATGAAACGATACGAACGCGTGACATAGCACCACGTTAACTCGCTAAAAAATATGATGATCTATTTAGATGAAATTCATTTTCTCGGTAAGCTCGTTTCTTAAACTAGGACGTAAATCGAATTTATATATTACTAGCAACTCGGCAAAGTATCACTGACGCGTTTAAACGAGTTAGAAAAAACTAGCACCATTTGAAAATAAGCAAAAAGTACAAGCTCTCGAGTTGTACGAAATTTGTATAGGTACGTTTTCCCATGCAAAATAAATACAGACACGTGTATTTATCAATCATGGTCGCGTAAAATCAATTAATCTACGCAAAGGTTAAAAAGAAAAGGAAATATTAACACCTAACCTCTTCGCGATGCATTGTTTTGACACGAATACGTATATACAAAAGAAACATGTACAGTGTTTAAAAGAATCGTCAATGAAATACATACGTTCTTGAATGGACTTGACTAAAGAATGTTGTACCATTGCTCGCATGATCATCTTATTCCCAAAATAAACGCTGTATCGATGATGGTTGATGTTGCACAAATCTTGAAAATAGTACGCATAAAAAGAGGTAGCTTTTCAATATTTAAATTTGTGGTGAGGCCTCTTTCTCTAAGAGTAGGCGAGTTTACGCGCGAACAATATTTCGAGGTTGTCTGCTACTTCCGAGAAGTAACGTATTCGATGCATGCCTTCGAATCGCACCCATCATCGGCTAGATCATCGACTCGTCGACCTAAATACGACCTAACGTGCCTATCTTGAATGTTGAACAGATCAATTTGCGTGCTTGCATAACTTTTAAGTATTTCTGTAGACTTAACTTACATTGAAAACAAAAAAAAAGCGAGAACGTATTCTCGCGACTTTAACCACCTGTTGCTGACGCATATGACTCCCACCTGTGTATATGTGTCCGCACACTGATTCATAGTATTGCCAATTTTCAATCCACACCTGCGCCTCTTATTTGCTTCGTCTCTTCCACGCCATCTAGGTAGTTGTTTTTGGTTTTCAGTTTTCGATATTTCCGTCGATTATAGATACGATATGCTGTGATTACACGAAACAATTACTAAGCGCTAATTTATTAACGTTAATTTCATCGATGCGTGCACGAATAATCTCATTTTAACGTGAACATAAACAACTAATATCGCAGGAACAATTAACAAAACCAGATAAAAAATTATTGTTCTTCAAAAGCACATATGGCTTTTTATTAATCCAGTACTATCGTATAAACATTTATAATGACATTTTTAATGGAACGCAAATATGGGGAAGCATGCAAAAGGAACAAAACATGATATTTGCATAAAGGATTTAGCACACGATTCGTGTCGCGACGAAAATGATCTTTTCGTGTTCAACTTCTGTTAGCACGATTACCCCATCCTCTTCTATGAGTGTCCTTGTAATCGTCCATACGACGTAATTGCCTCAATGTTTCTGGATCATCCGCTTCTATCAATTCTTCTTTTTCAACTTCTTCCTGTTCGTTATCATTTGCGCCAACATTGGTCATATTTTGTAAGCATTTGGAATTTTGTTGATTCTGTTGCGAAGGACCTGGCCAACTAAAAACAAAGAGCATCGCAGAAGACCTTTCATGCTATTGTCGGTAGTTGTAGAATTATAAAACCCTGTACTCACTCTCCTTCCTTTACTCGTTGTTCATAAAATTCCTGTACAGTGAGAATGGGTAAACTGGGATAACCAGCTCCATAAATTTTCTTTTGCACTTCGTCTCGTGTAATAATAATTGGCTGCAATTTTGGTTGAGGCGGTTTAAGCTTTTGCGAAGCTTGCGTAAACATAGTTTCAGATTTTGCCATCTTTTTCATATGCTCCAAAATCGGTTTCTCCACCGCTAACGAGTTCAGTTCTTCCACAGCCAAATTTACATATAACTTTATAAGCGTTACAAAGTATTCCCTCTTAACTTCGTCGTCTATATTCGGATTCGACAAGTTTTTTTCCAAATTTGCCAAACGCGATTCCAACTCTTTCTGTTCCGCGTATCTCTGTAGTTTCGTGTTTCTTCGGTTTACCTACGAATTAACGAAACCAGTAAGTGCTTGTTGACAGACCGATAGATCGTAATTTGTACGACGCGCTTACCATTTTTGCGATTACTTCCGTGTTTGATGGAGTTCTTTCGGAAGCGTTTTCTTTTTCCTGTTCAGATTTCATTTCCGGTATTTCAATGTTGGTTAATCCGTAGGCTTTGACGCGTTTTAAAAAGTCAATGAAATAAATTTCGGCAACGTGAACGATGTGCATCCGGTTATCCCTGTTACAAATTTTTGTAGCGAGCGTACCAAGGAAAGCTGGTAATAAGAAATACTTGATGTTTTCTGTAGGCACCTCTTCAAAACTTTCATTTTCGCTAAACATATCGATTATGGAAACTAGTTTTGTCGCATCTTCCAACATATTCATGGTTCGTCTAATGTCAGACTGACATACAGAAAGAAAGATACAGCAGGTACGTATAGGAAAGTATCCTCGATAATTGTTAAAGGAATAGGGAAAGAAAAGTTTGTGAATATTTATGTATAACCTTAAAGGTGAATACCTGAACTTTTACACTGTCCGTAGGTTCGGTTGTTTTATTTATATCATTGAACATTTGGAACGCTTTGTCAAATAATTCCGATAGCGTCGCGTTATCTTTCGCATCGTTTCCTACGGTGGATAAATCTTCCGAACTCATGATCGTCGTTTTGACAGCTCTCTTAACGATTTGACATTAATGGCGCGTTACCGAAAACAGAACAGTTTACGGTAAAGGTTAGGTGCATTACATGTCAATCGTGCAATTTCGAGCGAAGTTGGCTGTGGAGCGCGTTATTTCTTCAATCGATACGAGCAACGTGCGATATATCGATTGTTCTCTATGCGATTTAAACACGCACCGCTCGTTCGATTTAAAATCAACTTGTTCGGGTGTAAATAAAGGAATACAAATCGTTGGAACATATTATTTTTTTTCTGATTTTAATTTCATCTTCCTACGATACTTCGTACGATATTTTCTTTCATTGTATTTAACTCGGTTGAACGAAAATCGAATATTCGATAACCGATATCACGACCGTATAATACGTACGTACAATTATTGCCCAGATCAGTTCGCTAAAAATTACTTGAAAATAAATAAAATTGTAATAACACGTAATTGCCTAATGAAGAAGTTTTTCACCGATGAAACGGATTGGGCACGGACACACAAATGACCATCGTTTTCCGTCGAATTGTAATTCGCAACTTTTGCGAGGTTCGAGTTACGGTTCTCTTTCGTGATCGCACGATTTTCGATCGTTGCGATTAGGCTCGCGTAGAAAACAAAATATCTGCGATTATTGCGACAGTGCCTTACACTGTTTGCAATTTTCCATTTGTTCGTCGAATTCCTCTATTTGGAGAGTCATTTCGAAGAATTTGTACTCGTCATGAATATTCCTCGTCGCAGTGCGTAGTATATCTTGAGGACTCGTTCCCGGTTCTTCGATAACACGAAAAGTGGAAAAAAGAAGAAAGTAGAATATCGCGTATTCGATGGTATTAGATAAAAAATAAAGTTCTTACTTATAGCGAGGTGCGCGGAAAGCGCAGTTTTGTCCAACGAAAGTGCCCAGATACGAAGATTGTGCACCTTCACCACACCCTCGATTTGCATGAAGGTACTTTCCACTTGAGAATACTCGAATCCTTTCGGAATTCCTTCCATTAAAACGTTCATCACGTCTTTGATTATCGCCACCGTAGTTAACACCACCAACAACGAGAATAAAAAGGTGCAAATTGGATCGACTATGCTCCAAGTTGGCTGCAGGCAACGTTATTCGTACGCATTAACGAACGAGTATTTTTAAAAGCGGTACAATACTTGATTACAATATACATAATACTTATATATACATACCTTGAAGTAAATAACTAACGCAGCGACCAGCACTCCTACGCTTTGAATGAAATCCCCTACAACGTGGATAAAGGCAGCGCGTACGTTAATATTTTTCTTCTCCTCGAAAAAATCTTGATCGATTTTTCCATTTTCTACGCTGTTCGGTTTGCGCGAATCACGTTCGTGGTGATGTCCATGGCCGTGTCCGTGCGTGTGGCCATGTTGGTGCAACGATAAACCCATTCTACGAGACAACATTGCATCGATTAAATTACGTATATTTCTGATCGAGTCGCGCGCGAAAGATTCGACAATACTAACATTAAATTAATCGCAACGCCAACGGCGGACGTGATCAACATGACGGTGACGTCTAGTTCGAAGTCTTTGTGAATTATTCTCTCGACCGCCAGGTAAAAAAGGATTCCGGTCACTATCCATATCATTAGGACCGAAGTCAGAGCACCTATCACCTACGAAAATTCTTGTTTCAGCGAGATCAAGATCGACGCGGTTTCGCATTATCGAACGAAAGAGTACCCACTTCCGCTCTGTACCAGCCAAAGGGCATCTTCCGCGTTGCTGGTCTGCTCGCGACCCATATCGAGAACAGGGAGATCATGAACGAGGCAAAATCGGTCAACAGATGCGCAGCATCCGTCGCGATCGCCAAACTGTTGGACAATACACCACCTGAAAAAGCGGAGCGATCGTTTCCGTTTAGAATCCGTTTCACCCGATCTTTCTTCGTTCCGTCTACTTTTTTCTACACGTATCGTAACGTATTCGCGTTTTGCTCGTACGTCTATATATGATAGTGTATTACCTACGATTTCTGCTATCATAAAAATTACGCATAGGGCACTAGCAAGCAGTAATTTCTTTCTTGCCTTTTTATCGATCTCCTCGTTTCTTTCTCTATGACAATGGTCTTCCAGTGCGGCTAAACGAACATAAATGGACGCATGAGTTTACGATAAAATCGAGACGAAAGGGAAAAGCCAAAGAAGATTAACAGAACGGCGAATATATTTACTGGAAGAATTTTTCTGGTAATTGACAGCTGCATCGTCGTCGATCGATACGCCTTTCACGACCGTGCAACAGCCCGACAACTTTCCGTGTACGCAAAAGATCACTTTCCTAGAAGACGTGTCATTCTCCTCGGCTTCGTTATTACTCGGTGGTATGCTTGTCCCGTATCCGTATACAGCCTTGTCCTTGAATCTATCGAGCAAAGAAAACCAATTGAGTTCGATTTCGATCTCTGTACGCTGTACTGTTATTAGAAACCGTCATCGGTTTCGTATCGAAATTTCGCGAGCTTTTCATACTCGATCTATGGTCAGAAACCGAATTTATCCGTGTTACTAGACTAAGTCTTTGGATCGCTTACTTTTTCGATTCTATTTGGTGCGTGCTTCGTGTTATTTACGAACACGTTACGCATGCTTTGCATACATTACTAACAGATAAAATAAATTTCTTTATGTCATTTTCTAGATGTTACGAGTTAAAAACTTTGTTCAACTTTCACTTCGATTATCATTTGCAAAATTTCGTCCGATTGAATAGCAGATCAAACGCTTCCCGTTTCCTTCGTTCTCGATGTCACACGACTCGCAACCCTGGACATAATCGCGCGATGCATACATACATACACGTACATCCGTGTCCGTCGTAACCGTGTAGCGAATATCTTTTATGTTTTTTTCTTCTGGTCGCATTAAAAAGTGCATATTTTTTACAACCTTCGTTTCAGATATCGGAAAAGCTGTTGTTTACGATCTTTATCGTAACGAATCGTTATCGCCCGTTACGCGGAAAATGAAGTTTCGTCTTTGGACTTGAAATTTATCATAGTGGGAGTGGTTTTTCTTTCTCGTCTTTTTCTGAACCACAAGAGTTTCGTTTGAACCGAAAGTGCAACGAACGGGCCGCGTGCAAAGACAATGTAATTATCAAGAAAGAGTGGCGTGCGGCGTCAAAATTCGGATACAGGCGATAAGATGCGCGGAGGATGTACGGGGGAGAACGATGACGTGCCTTACTCATCGTTATCGTTATCATTATCTGACGACGAGATATCGAGGATGCCGTGTGCAAACGCGTCTTAGTGTTAGATCGTTATCCGAAGCAGCTTTTTTTCGCCAAAATTGGTTATTCTCGCGCAACGATGATGCCGTGTGCAAAATTATCGGAATCGAACGAATTGTATTAGATTTACGGTATCGACGATTGTGTTCGAGATATCGCATTGAATCGGAAGGAAAAAATAGGCGAGAAAATCGAACGAACGAAGGAAACGTTTGACAAGCGTAGAATATAGTTTTACTTGTTGCTCGTGTCCTGTATCCTATCCCGCTTCGTGATCGTGCATCGGTACGGAAGAAACGTTATTCGAGGATCGTGATTCAATAAATGAGAAATTTGATCGCGTTTCGTTAGGAAATCGAGTCGGTAAACGCGGGCAATCACGGTTAACCGCGGATCGTAATTCGATCCTTACCACGTTGTTCTCTGTAAATTGTCGATTGTTCATTTTTCCGCTATACTTACGGGCAAACGCAGGTATCGAAGATACTTTCACGACTTATATTTGACGAAACTGTATTACATTCGAAAACAGAGTAAAAGGCAACGTAGAAAGAAGAAGAAGAAGAAAAAGATAGACGAGGCTCACGAACGGTATTTATCGATTTAACGGCTACGAAGTAGCGAATAAATTATCGCGACAACGTTCTTTTCGCGAAAGGTGTAGACAACGAGAATGAAAAAAACAAGCCGAAGCGAACGAACGAAGTTATAGTTTCGGTGTAAACACCCGTAAAAGAACGAGACAACGGTTGCATTTATTTGTTTCGATCCGATCGAAACGTTCGTCTCGATATCCGTTTATTCGTTTCGTTTTCTTTCGAAGCATTTCGCCGAACGTACGCTCGAACGGACGTTGCGTACGACGGGTTAATTGGTGGGAGAAGGTGGGGGGACGATCCGATCCGATTCGATTCGATCCGATTAAATACGGAAGGATATTCGAACTCACAGTTTGATTTTCTCGTCGTCCATGATCCTCGGAACGTTGCTTGTACAGTGGATCCCGATGTTGATCGTGACGTACGAGGAGCAGGCCGAATCGATTTACTGGACGGTGGATCGATCGGAAATATGGAAAAGAAAAACCAAAGGAGAAGAAAGCGATGGACGCGAATACGAGGAGAAGGGGGCGCGACAGTAGGACGTCGAGTTTGGTCGAGTATATCCGTCGCGTTAAGTCCTCGGCCGATCGGAGAGTCGTGAACGGATCGTGCACGCGTCACTGGTTACGAAAACAACGAAAGCCGTTTGCCACTTCATGCCGTCTTTTAGTGGAAAACCTTCGGTCCGGCCTAGTCCGTTTGTTTTACCAGATAGCTTAACTCTCGATGAGTTTCTCTTGCTCTCTCCCTCTCTGGCTCCCTCGATCTATCGAGTTCCCCCTCTTTTCGACTCCCCCTCGTTCCGAGATCTCTACCGATCCTCTTCCTTCTGCTTCTCTTCTCCTCGCGCAACCACCGTGCTCCACACTGTTTCCCTATTGTTCGTTTTCTTTATCTGTTTCTGCCTTTCCAACTTCCTATCTGTTTCGTTCATTGGCTCCGTCTTCGTTGCGCTTCGTACGCAAGATAGCACCGTGCCACGATGTATCGCGTTTTCCTGTTTCCGTTATTTCCTGTTCGCGCGTGGGACGATCACGATCACGGCTACCGCGAATTTCGCGCGATTTCGACGGGACTTGATCCTTCGGATATCCATCGATGCCGCTACAGTTACCGACTTATCGTTCTTACGCGATTAACCACAAGTAATGTTTCGTTCCCCCGTCTTTTTTTTCAGGGGCATCCGATTGTGGGCGCGAAAAGCGTTATGTATCGATAACCTTACGCGTTCGTAAACGCTCGAAACGAAACTGCACGCGTGCCAGAAAACGCGTCGACGTTCACTAGACTAGATACGCGTTAGCACCGTCGCTTCCGCGGCTGACCGCCTAACTGCGACTTTCCCTTCTTCTCGCGTTCCCTTCTTCGCCTGTTCCTGCGTCGAAGAATCGTTGCCCGTTATTTCTGTCGTTCAAATGTCTTTGCTAACGCGATCACGATCAACGACAAGCAGACGAGGGATATCAAAATGTTTCGCGTCTCTTTTACAGAGTTGTCATCAAATTCCATTCGTTGATTTACTCGTTACGTATTACCGATAGTTGTTATGTATCCGCTACTTTTTTGTTAATAAAATCTTACTCAAGGTAAACGCCTGTTCGATGATATAACGATTCGAGAACGAGATGCGCGACGTACGCGTACGAGATTAAGACGATTTTAGTCGTGAGATTATGGACCAGATAACGATGGTATTTATCGTTGTTAAGGTGCGTTATTATCTCTTTTCCCGATCGTGAATTTAAAGCGTTACGTTCTCTCGATCGAATTTAATCACGAGTGGAAATTTGAAATGTTGACAAAAAAGATAATACGCGAATACGTGCGCTTGCGATATACGCTTAAACGATACTCTGATTTCACGTGCATTTTTTCCCGATATTATCGAACGATAAACTCAAGATCCGATTCGAGAATTCGAAAAGTACGATTCGGATTTAATTAAGAATAATATTTTCTTCGACCGCATTAACGAACGGACTAGAAATTTTACCGCGTAAGAAGATTATTAGTTGATCGGTAAGAATCAGGATTAACGCGAATACAAAATACGAACCGATGCTTTTACAAAAACAAAGTCGCATTTTCTTCGATACAAACATGTATTAGAATAAATTCGTACCACGAATTGAATCGTTAACCGTCCGTTTCGTGTATTATAGACAATTTTGTAGTAAATAAACGATAGTTACGATGATCTTCGATAAGAAATAAACGTCACAAATATGCTGTTATTACGTACGATATTTGCTGGTCTCTAGCAAGTTCTTCCATTCTTGCGATTAAACGTAGATCCTTTTACGAGATATGAAACTTCCCTTCGATTAAATGAATGCACTGATTTAAACGCGCGGATAAGAAAGCACTCGATGATATATGACTCGCACGTGTAATAATACTACGAAAGTTAGGTGTTTTTCTACGAACGAAAGATGTCATTAGTAGCATAGAAAAATCGATTTGGTACTGTTTGTTTCTCGGTGTAAATTAATCAGTTGCTACGAGATATCCGATCTTTTGATAAGTATTATGTGCTGGAACATCGTGTGCAAGCCGAGACGTTCGCGTCGAGTACTTACTGAAACAGTGGATCTAATGTTTCATTGGGTAGAAACAATTCCTTTTAAAAGTCAAACGTTCGTTTATTGGCGAGCGAAGAAACCCATCTTTTTTCTTTTCGCGCGAAATGTTGGTCCAGCGGTGATATACGTGTATCGATTTATCGATTAGAGGTAATTTACAAACGTTACAAGTTTATTTCTTATGGCAATCACAAAGTAGACGATACAAAATCACCGTTACATAAACGGTGTAAACATAATTTCACCTGTACAATTAATCCCGATACATTACCAACGACAACGCTCATTTTCGGTCGATCAAACGGTACCACGTACAACGAGCACAGATTCCGTTTCATGCTTACTCGCGTAACATTCGACTCTCGCGGTGTATGTTTTTTATTCGTGGAACTGTTGCATAAAAGGTTGCTTGGAGCGGTGATGCGTGAAACTTTGTTTTACAGTCTTCTTTCTGTTTTAGTCAACTCTGTGTTCTTTCGCTGTGTATACTAATATAACATACAAAATTATACGAAAGTAACAACCAATACTTAAAACCAGTATAGAAGAATTTTTCGAAGAATTTTGCATTACCTTAGTTTTCGTACGTGCTTTCTTGTACTTTGTACCAGTTTTGTTCTTACAATTCTTCGTGTTTCGTGGAATCTTCTAATGTTTCTAAAGAAAAAAAGGGAAGAAAAATGAGCAAATAAAAATTACATGCCTAATGTGAAATATACTAAAAATACGCGTATTATCGTCCACTAGATACACGTACCATGCGCTTCCTTTTCCAATTGTCTATTTTCGTTCTCTATCTTCGATTGCAAAGCTTTTATTTCTTCGTCGTATTCCACCCATTCTGGCAAAATGCGCACGGCAGCTTGTAATTTTGCTTCCTTGGTCATCGGATTGTTACACTACGATGTAAAATTACAAATTACGTTATGGTGTACAGAGTACGATACGACTATACCGACGATTTTGTAAATTCTGCTTACCAAATCTATGGTTTTAGCGTATTTCTTGGATGCGTCGTCGCACCAAGTTTCACACCACAACCACTCTTGCGGTAATGTTTTGATAGTCACTTGATGGATCATATTATTAGGAAGATCCTGAAATGACGCGTTATTAGTAACCTTTCCGATCGAGCGTAATTGTTCGTTGTACGCACCTGGTCTAAATTGGCTAAGCTGTTAGGATCTTGACTCAGCGCTTGATATTGTCCTCTTAATCTGTCTCCGGCTGCGATGCGTCGGAAACGTTTTAAATCCACCACGTATAGTGCACTGATGTGATACGCGCGTCCTTGTAAGTGATTCCGCCAATAACCTTGTTTCCAAAATCTGAACCCGTCCATTTCCTTCCTACTGTCGCAAAATGGAGTGTACGCGTATGGTGCACCGCCAAGATCCATATTCGCTAGTTCTTTCAAATCTGCCCTTACAACCTATGCGGCACAAATATATCAATGGATCAGGGATAACGTGTTACACTCTATCCTCGATTATGATTATTCTACGCTAGAGGGTCATACTTAATTTCATTCAGTATACCTGATCTGCGTCGACGAATATTATCTTTTTAACATTCAACGGAAACAGTACATCCAGGAATAATATTTTATAACCCCATATAGTTCTCTGCTTCTCTGTTTGTTGATGGAGCCAACGAGGCCATTTGTATTGTACGAGCTCATATTCGAAACCGTATTCTTTTGCCATATGCGGTAAGAAGTCCTAATAAAAAAAAAATTTATTAATTTGTTAATCACGCGTTTGCTATCCATCTATCGATTGTATCGTCGCTTACTTTTAACGTTGGGGAAAGATAATTTTTTAGAAACCAAAATTTCACGGGACTTTTAGTATGCTTTATCACGCTTAACATCATAATTTTCAAAAATCTTTCGTACAAATGACCAGAGGCTAGGGAAAATATGTTCAACTTCTCGTCCATGTCTTCGCTATCGTCCGACGTGGTGAATGTCCTAATTAAAAGAAAATAATAATAACAATAACGATAATCCTGTTAATAATAACATTGAATCGTAGAAATGAATAATAAAATCATTTCTTTCGTAATCTTTCTAGTAAGAATCGTTGTATTTTATAATGCAACGTCCGGTACGAACACGTTACGAAACAACGCTTCTTTAAGATGCGATAAGAGTATTATTTTTCATATCGTGGCGAGTATATGCTACAATAGGCTATGACGATTAAATAGTTGTGGGAAGCTTACCAAAATTTGGAAAAGCTAAAAAAGAGAGAGAGAATAAGTAGAAAATTAAGGTTAGAGGATCACTGAATGACGTACTAAAAAGATACTACGTATACTTACTTATTGTTAATAGCGAAAAATTTCAAATTACCAATCCATGTAACATTCATTATCTCAATTACGAGAGCGAAGAAAAAATTTCACGTACCTAGAAATAGAGTTCCATAAGCCAGAACTTTTGTCATCCTCCGATAGAAGATCCATTTCAACTTTATCCGGTTTCTTCGATACTTTGATTTTCAATACGTGACTTCTTAGAGAACTTATAACAACTTTCACCTCGTTGCCCTTCTGTACAACATCCTGACCACCGACAGTAGTAAAATCGTATATTTCTGCCGATCTTCCATGTCGCAAACGCAAAATCCATTCTCCTGGATTTGCTTTTAACTGAAAGTATCCCAAGTTTGCCATCACTATAGTGTCTACCATTAACGGACGTTTCTCTGTTCCTAACGTGATTTGTAATCCTCGCGGTGGACTTCCCATCACCGCTTCGAAACAGTAACCTTCAAGCAGCAAATGCTCTAATTCGAATTCGCTGTAAAAAACGAGTAACATGAACACGGTTTGCATAGGTTGGGTTTTCTTTTGGACGCTGATTCTTACCTATGCACTCCCATCGCTACATTGTCCAATTTAATGTTATCTAAATCGTAAATGCTTCGAACCACTTCCACCAACCAGTTTTCTGGCGCATGGATATATTGAGTCAAAAGAGAAGATGTAGGCAGTTTTGTAAATTTCGCCATGGCTCCATTTATATGACCATCGGAATTGAATTGTAATTGAGGTTCAAATACGAATCGATAAAAACTACAAAATTACAAACGCGCATTAAATAAATTGATTACTAAATTAATATCTCCTTTCATGAAATTTACCTTTTCAATGGCATGTCGCTGTTCTTGTCTAAACAATTCAAAAACACTTTGATGTCGCAATTTAAAGACTGTTGTAATGTTTTCAAAATTGGACCCAATTTTTGGGCACCGCGCGATACGGGATCCACGATGGCGATTAAATTAAATGCCACTTCGTCAGGATTTGTCGTTGGAATTTTTATGGCACTAAAAATAAATATTACGAGTTATTTGATAACTCGTATTTATTCGTAAATTTTCTGCAATTTATACGGCAACTTGTACTCCTTACCTGTACTCGTCACCGTGAAAAGGAACATCGAATCGGGCACGAGTTTGGGGGTGCGACACTAATAATGACGTAATTTTCATTATCATATCATCCGTGATTTCGCTCTTTTCTGTATGAAAAATAATTATAATAATGTTATAGTTCTAAACTCTACTTCCTGAATCACCGCGTACGGATAAATTTTCATAAATTATTTCTCGTACCATATTCGTCGTCTTCTAATAATTGTCCTTTTATTAACTTTTTAAACAATTTGTCGCCATAACTACTTTGACTGAATCTTTCCAACAACGAAAAATCTTCGCTCGTAAATTCTTCGTTTTCGTCTAAAGGACCAATTAATCGTCCGTTACATACGATCGCAGTGACTCCTTTTGCTAACTTTAATACGGTCTTAACATAATATTGGTGTACAGATAATTCCTCTGTTTCTTGTTGCAACTTTTCTTTTACAGCCTCTTCCTAATTTATAAATATCAATGTAATATGTCTGCTGCTCTTTTGAAATCGGTAATTTTTCAAAAAATATTATTACCTGTATATCAAATTTACCACTAATAATATCGGTAACAACATCCTCTTTGATTATATTACGAACAAAATGCAGAGCCTTGTCTGTGGGGAGAACATTTATTGCAGTCAATGCTATTCGATTGATATCGATTGCATTAACAGCATTATCGGTATCAGTGGCTGGATTAATTATTATGGTAATCCTGACATCTGCGTTTGACTCCTAAATTACAATATTTTCATTTGAATTTTAATAAAACATCTGCTTTCTTGCCACCAAGTTATAGCATTAATTACTTACTATGTACTCAAAGGCCTCGCGTAATAACTGTCTGCCCTTTGCATCGTTTAAATTTGTCACGATCCAAAAGGTGTACAAATGATGTACGTTCGTACGACGCGGTACAAATAAATAATTCAGTTTGGTCATTAACCACGTAGACAAATCTTCAGGACTCCACTTAGTATATTCTTCGTCGTTTGGTAGAGTACCAATTAAATTCAACCAGGTATGTTTTTCTGACTTTAATATTCGTTCGTTTAAACTAAGTTAAGAAAATAAAAGTGTGTCGATGACTTGCAATAAACCATAAAGATTAAGTTAAAATGTTAAATCAAAAATTTTTACCGGGGCATAACATTTGGCTGATTCATAATATAATCGACTACGTCATCTCCTTCGGTTATTTCTCCTCGGTAAACTGCTTTCTGTAGTGCAGGTGTCTGTGACATAATAGTGGATAGAACAGCTTCCTCAAAAGACTCGGCGTTCAATACATCGGAAGACAAGGGTACACCGTTTAATAGAGCTTGAGGAAATTTCTTAAAACCAGACCGTTTAACGAAATCACTAGCCAAGTGTCGTCCAATATCATATTCCGATTCTTCTCCGAGGATATAATTCACGTTAGCCGATGAATCTTGTGATCTTAGAGCTTTCTTTACATCTTCTACGGTTGCTCCGTCTGGCTTGATGTAATTTCCTAACTACAATACAATATCAATATCAATATTATCAATTTTTCTATTACACATATACATATATTCATAATATCTGCAACAAAAAAATCAAATACCGTAAAGTCTTACGTCTATTAAAAACTGTAAAGCATGTTCTGATCCTTTTGTTTCCGCAAAGTAGTGGTATACATTATTGGCTGCAATACTAGCATCTGTCAAGCCAGTTATAGAAGTGTCATAATTCGTTATGAAAACAAAACCTACTCGTAACGGCGCGGAATGTAAATACAAGGATTGTGCTAAAGTTATCAGCGGCGTCGATTCTCTACTCAAGGGATCGACCATGAGTACCTATTGAAATGCATTTTTTTTTTTTTTAATTTATGCGTTTTAACTAAGTAAATACAATAATGATTAATGGATGGTCTACGAACCAAATTGTACAAATTTCTCCTAATATTTCTAAGCATTCCAGGAAAAGTTGGTCTCAGTAATTCTGTTAATGATGGTGACCATCTTGCGTATGCCGAATCTTGTTCAATATCGTTAACCCAATTAATGGCCGAATCTCTTATGTCCATTGCAAATTCTTGCTTATCCATGTTAGTGGATAAGTCTAAAGCTAATAATTTACTCATCTTTTTATTACTAAATCCTATAAATGGAAGGTCCAATGTTATGATATTCATCAATGTCTAATACAATAATCTCAAGGTAGGCACGCTGATTGTACCGATTTTACGAAGGGATTCCATTACTCTTAATTCGCTTCTTAACGATTCCAATAGGCTGAGTACGTCTATAGCCTCCAAATCGAAAAACAGTCCATTAATGAAGAGTGCAGTATCCGTGGGTTGTATGTTTAAACTTGTAGAAAATATTGCTTGATTGAGTTTCATTTCTTTCTTCATCTCACTATTTACCTTTGTTCTGATTAAAGATTTTGCCTTCAAACAAGAATAACAATTCATCATTTAATGAAACAAAATTAATAAACTATGAAAAATACAAAATATTTATTATACTGTAAAGCGAATATTTACTTGCATTGGGAAATTCTGAGAAATATCTGTTAAAACATTAATAGCTTCGTTTGTAGGAGAATTCATTATTCTCTCGGCTGCTTGATGACTTAATTCTTGGAATTGCCATACCTTTAAAGCACCAATTTCATGACTACTCTCGAGCAAGTGAGTCTGTAATTTGTCTAATTCTACTTGCTTATCGGGATACAAATTCCTGAAATAATTCAATGATACTGTACTAACACATCCGCTAATACTGATACAGAATTAAAAATGTACTTTCTATATGTCTATACTAAATAGACATTACAGCAAGAGATACATTAGGAATGTAACCACCTTACTTCAAAGTCATAAAATTAATTCCATCTATTTCTTCTATATTATCATTTGCCATTTCTGAATCTTTGTCAGCATTGTCTTTAATATCAGAATCATCTGTTGCTTTGTATTCTGTAGATTTCATTTGCAATTCTACCCCATATCCTGACAAACGTACATTTTTTCCTTCTCTGTCCTATAAACATTATGAAAATTAATGTTGGAATATTGTACATGTGTTACTTTCATTAAATGTTATAATAACACCTTCAAATAGTGTCGTAAAATGTAACTGATCCCCTTAGTTTCAGCAAGATGTTTCAATGCATTGTGAAAACTTGAAAATTGAGGTGTTCCCACTTGACCATATAATATAATAACTTTTTCAGATTGTTGAGATGTATGATAACGGTGATCTATACTGTAAGTGTCAGGTTTTGGCCAAGTTTCCTATAATAAATAAATAAACGTGTATAACATGTATCGCATAAACATAATTTATACCATATATACCTTATCAATTAAGTTTTCTAATTCCTCTAATGAACAAGTAAGTACTCCACCAATGTTCACCACATTATAACAATTAAATACAGAAACATTTTTGTTTTCTGCCATTTGATTAAACATTTCAACGCGTGCTGAATAAATGCGTAAAGATAATCCTAGTTTAAGCAATGCTATTTCTGAAGGAGACAAATATTTTTCAGCAAATTCAATAATGATATCATAACTTTCTCGTGCTGTAACTATGGACAAAAAATGTAAGATTACGTGGTTTTAGAAGATAAAGTTGAATTAACTTAAAATTACCATTTCTTAAATCTCGATTTGCAAAAGTATCTATAAATTTCCAAAAATAATTTGGATTTTCATCGTTTAGATATTCTGCAGCTTCAAGAATTAAGGGTGTTTCTCTCCACTTTGCATCTATTACGGTAGTCACATATTTGTTTATCCTTTTGTCTGCTTTAAGATGCGTCGAACAAAGGAGTAGGAAATAAAACAATATAATCAATTGCATCTGTGAACAATACGAAGATTGCTGATAATAGTAATACTGTAAATGAAAATATAAAATATGTCCATAAAATTATTAAAAAACTTCAAAAGTATGTTTCACGAAAATATTATAACATTATAATTGCTTCAAGTTTTTAGAAAAGCAAAAATATATGTTTTTAATAAAATCGAGTAAACGGAAGTTCCAATTGTATTTATTACAAATCAACATTCATTGTTACAATATTCTACGAATACTGTATTGTACTGAAACAATTCGAAAGTTATACAAACCGCGTTTCACAATAACCACTACAATATTGATAAAACGAGACAATAAAATCGTCGGAAATGCATATAAATAACGGTAACAATATCATTAAGAATTTTTGCAATCGTATTGCACATGAAACAAGCTCATTTTATATAATTTACGTACTTTTAAATTTACTATAAAACTCATATTATTGAAGGAAACGTGGATAATGATGGTAGGCAATCCATGCAGCGCACCTACCGGTAATTATCACACTCAGACATTCGACACACTTGTATACGCGTGTATGATAGCAGGTAATAAGTTTTACAAATTCTTGAAATAATTATTGTATATCAATGAAAATAAAGAATAATGGAGAATTTTAGTGTATATATATAAATATGTACAATTTATTTGAGAAGTTCAGAAATAGATTGTTATAATGTTTTGTACTTATAATACCTTAAACTTGATACGAACTAAAAACGTAAATATTGTGCAAAATAAGTATTTAAATATTGCGAATACTACATAAGTAAAAACGTATATAAAAGTGTTTTAATTTCTTCAACATTACAATAAAAAAGAACAGCTTTGAATCATGACTATAATAGATTATATACACACTTTATCCGATAATCCGTATTTTGGAGCTGGCTTTGGCCTTTTTGGATTAGGAGCTGGAGCAGCTTTATTGCGAAAGGGAATGCATACAGGAATACTCTTATTCAGGTATTATTTTTATAGAAATTACATTACTATAGAATCTTATATAGTACTATATTTTATTTATTTATGAATGCAGACGACATTATATGATTACTTTAGAAGTTCCCTGCCGTGACAAAAGTTACCAATGGCTGTTGCAGTGGATTACATATAAGGGTGCAAAGGAAACACAACATCTTTCTGTTGAAACAAGTTTCGAGCAAAAAGATACAGGTCACATAAAAACTAGATATGATTTCATACCAAGTATTGGAACACATTTCCTTAGGTTAGAAATAACTGTACTTTATGGCTCCGATACCTCAAGTTACTGTTACAGCGTAAAATATATAATGGTTTTAGTAATAATTAGATATATTGAAACATTAATGAAAATGATATGTAATACTGTACCATTCAAACAGGTATGAAGGGAATTGGATAAAAGTAGAACGAACTAGGGAACAGCAGACATTAGATATACAAATGGGTATACCATGGGAAACTGTACAGCTCACTGCGTTTGGAAGGGATAAAAGCATATATTTTAACATTTTAGAAGAAGGTGAACTTTCTTGTTAAATATAATTATTATTCATTGTAAATAATATTACAAAGGAATTTTTTTATAGCCAGGCAAATGGCCTTGAAAAAACATGAAGGCAAAACTATAATGTATACAGCAATGGGAAGCGAGTGGAGACAATTTGGACATCCTAAGAATCGCAGACCATTAGAATCGGTTGTTCTAGATACAGGAATCGCGGAAAGAATAATAAACGATTGTCGTGAATTTATACAAAATCATTCTTGGTATAGTGATCGGGGTATGTGAATGACACTTTAAGTTACAAATTTTATAAGAAAATTACAACAAATGTTTGTTAATTATGCAGGAATTCCGTATAGACGGGGCTACTTATTGTATGGACCTCCAGGTTGCGGTAAATCGTCATTTATTACCGCGTTAGCGGGTGAACTAGAACGAGGTATATGCGTCTTAAATCTGTCGGAACGAGGTTTAACGGATGACAGATTAAATCATTTATTGGCTGTGGCTCCTCAACAGACTATTATACTATTAGAAGACATTGATGCTGCATTTGTTAGCAGAGAAGAGTCTAAAGAAGGTAGATTGTAAATTTTACAAAAGGACATTGAAAATACGACATTAAATAATATATACCTTTTATTACAGTTTCGGCTGCATATGCCGGTTTGAACAGAGTTACTTTCAGCGGCTTATTAAATTGTTTAGATGGTGTTGCTTCTACCGAAGCAAGAATACTTTTTATGACAACTAACTACCTTGAAAGACTGGACCCTGCTCTAGTTAGGCCGGGTAGAGTGGACGTAAAAGAATATATAGGTATGTACATAAAAAAATATGTTACAACACGATATGTACAGAATATTTATAGTATTTAGCTAGCAACATGTTTACTCTGTTTCAGGCTGGTGTAGTGAAAAACAAGTAGAACAGATGTTTTTGAGATTTTATAAAAGTGATGGAAATAACGAAGCGACTCAACTTGCTAAACAGTTTGCAGAAAACATAACATCACAGAAAAGAAACGTTAGTCCTGCACAAATTCAAGGATTCTTTATGTTTTACAAAAATGATCCCGATAGTGTATTAAAAAATGTTTCACACATATGGGAGCTTACATGATAAGATCAATTATTAAATAGTTTAGTAATAAATATGAAGATTCATGGCAAATATAATGATCAGAAATTATGATTTGCAATGATTATACATCCGATGACTATTTGCACATTTTGCTGTTAAATTACGAAATTGTAAGTGTGATGGTCGATCATAGATATTATAAGGAATTGATAGAAACTTACGTTTATCTTTGAGTTTATTCATTTCGTATCTTTATCTCGGCAGCCACTGTCACGCATGAAAAAGATGTCAACCCATTAAAAAAAAAGTAAAAACAAAAGCGATTTCATATTTTTAACCAACTTCATCTAAAAAGAAAAAGGTAATTAAATTTACGACAATAGTTGAGATTAGTCCACTTTGTATATTTACATAATATCGATACGTTTCTTAAGACATTTAAATAAATTCAATCAATATCATTTAAAATGTACATCTTTTAGATCTTTGTAATTCTTTTCGAATATTCTTGGAATATAAGAAACTGCGTTTTATAAAAACTTGTACTTTAAATTAAAGATTATTCTTTTTACATATAATTCGACTAACTTATTTAAGAAAGAAGGGCTAAACATAAATTCTTCTGCTATCAGTTAAAAATTGTACATTCTCTTTTGTCTAGCTTCATATGCTACTGAATATTTCTAACATACAATATTGAGATCTTTTAGTAGTAATCTTAAACTGTTATATTTCAAGAGATACTACGCGCAATCATGAAAATATATTAAATTTAACTGGAAGTCTTTTTTAATTATATTTACTTACCTGATCACTAGGGATTGTTACTTGCTTGACGATGTTCGACTTATATAAGTACGTAAGTATGTATATTTTTGAACTGTTCTCTTCCATTTCTATCAACTTTGAAGATATTAAAAATATTTTTATAAAAGCAGTGTATAGGAATCTGTATAATATCATCACATACGGTATAACAACGTAGGATATTAGAATAGTTGAGAAAAGTTTCATACCATTTGATAGAAAAAGTAAAAATTTAAAAATCAGAAGGATATAATATGCTGAAATTGTGATTTTATAATGTACAATTGATTAGTGAGATCCAGGCATTCTGTGCTTAAAAGCTCCAAATATACGGTTCATAATTTAAAGGATCAGATTGTTCCATGTGTCCTGTATGACTATTGCTTCCAACCATACACGACGGATAAGCAACACCGGTGTTTCCTTGGCCCGATACAGGTGGTACAATAGGTGGTGCTAATCGGCAATCAGGCCTTTGTTGCATCATAGAGCCCATTGGTTGCATCGATTGGGGTGCTGGTGGAGGAGGACCTGTTGGTGGATGTGGTTGAGGTTGAACAAGTGGTGGAGGAGGTCCAGGAATGTTATGTACAGATTGCATTATGTTAGAACCTGAAACATAGTTTGCCACTAAGAAGTGGTATTTTAATATCATCGATTAGTTCTCATCGTATAAAACACGGAATACAATTATAATGTTATGAATATATGAAAACAATAGAAGCTTACTTGTTGCAGGATTGTGAAACGGTAAAGCAGCTGATTGTTCTGGTAGTATATCAGCTGGCGGTGGAACCGTTTTCATCGGGTTGGGTTCGAGTTTCTTTTTTCTAGTAGATGATCGTCTTTGAATGCTACTAGACGATTGGTCGCGCCTTTTACCACTACCTGACCTCTTCTTCTTTTCACCAGGTATCTTCGGTTTATTTGGTCGATTCCCACTAGGTTGCCAAAGATGTACCGTGTGTACAGCGTTTCCTTCTCTAAAATAGTCGAAAGCTCGGTCATTGTTTGTATCGATAAACAGCTTTCTTTTCTTCTCCTCCTCTAATACCAACCCCTGTTTCTTCCCAAGCTTCCAACTATGTATACCAGCTTTGTGAAGTCTTTCTCTGATCGTGTCTACGCTACATTTCAATCCGAGAGCCGGCGCAACGTGTTTAGCTGCAGTTAATGGTTGTTGAGTAGCCATAGCGACAATTGCCTCGTCTTGTTCTTTAGTTGTAATTCGTCGACGGCCCTTTCTTTCCTTGGTTTGGACATTGCCTTCTTTATGCCAACGTTCTAACCATCTTTTAACGGTACGTTCCTATTTAATAACGAGTATTGCGTATACGGCTATCCTCGAGATGGTGTTAAATACGTGAATCCGTCAAGACGAACATGTTTCTTCTTACCGATCTGTCGATTGCGAGCGCGATAGACAACGTAGATAAACCCGCCTCGGACATTCCGATCATACGATTTCGTATTTCAACGCTGGTTTCCAAAGTTCCTTTTGCTTTTCCACCTTTCTTTTTCCTTTTCTGTCGTTCATTTACCTCGCTACTTTCTTTCGACGTATCTTTGTTTTGTTTAGATTCACTGCTAGAAGACTGATTATTATCTTGAGAACTACAGGAATTAGAATTATCGGAAGCTAAATTCGTACTGATTTGTGGACTAGTTAGTTGAGAATGTAAATGTTCGTGATGATGTTGCTGTTGGACGTCTACTTGAACATGCCTTTGTCGTTGATCAAGATCGTGGGTTTGATTTGTAATTATTTGTTGTACTTGCTGAACTTGTTGTACATGATGTTGTTGTTGGTCTTGCTGAGCATGCAAATCGTGTTGCGAAGAGGATTCATGAGATATTGGATTTGTTTGACCCTAAAATGCAGAAGATTAAAATTAAGGAACTTATTAAAAATATTCGTGAAAAGAAATTATGTTTTGTATGTACACACCTGTGGATAGTGATGACTTCCTTGCACTAAATCTAACGGCCAATTTTGAGAAATATTTAAATCAGGATGTTGATAAATAGGCTGCGTTTGCTGAGCTAAACTCAGAGCATTACCAAATTGCGTTTGATTCTGAGATAAAGACTGTTGGGATGTTGCTTGAATTTCGTTAGCTCGAGACTGTTGAGCATTTTGCTGAGGATACATAAATTCTTGTTCATTAGGCGGCTTCACGTTTTCTAATGGTGCCCCATCTCCAACATATATATCTTTGGCTCTAATTTTCCTTGGAGGATTTTTCTTTTTGACATTACAAGTATTTTTGTCATTTTTATTAGAGTCCTTGGAAGATTTTTTTTTTCCTAACTGTGTTCCAGTGGGCCTCCATACAGGTTGCTGAATAGCAGTACCATCTGTATCGCTGCAAATAAGACATCCATTGATATAGAATATGTTGAATCGCGATAAACCAATAATTTTAACATTTCTGTTTAATGCGATTAACATTTAAATACCCACCCAAGCGGAATTCTTTGCATATACTTCCGCGAAGGACTCCAGTTATGGATTCCAGCTTTATGAAGCCTCTCACGAATAGTATCTACGGAGCAAGTTAGTCCTAAAGCTGGAAGAACAGCTTTTGCGGCTGTTATTGGTGTTTGCGTAGCTAATCGTACAATTGCTTCGTCCTGCTCTGCAGTTGTAGCTCTTTTACGTCCACATCGTTCACGAGTTTCAACTGTACCTTCTTTATCAAATCTATTTAACCATCTTTTCACTGTACGTTGCTAAAATAGTAAAATAGTTAAAAAAGGGATACATTTTGTAACTTAGAAAATGATGAAAATTTGTTATAACCATACATATAAAACAAGCAGTCTCTTCATTCGTACAAATTTAGTGAAATACACTTACCGAACAATTTACGGCTGCCGCAATTTCTCTTAAACCTAAACCGGCTTCGTACATGCCCACCATTCGATTTCTTAATTCCGGCGTTGTTTCGTGTACTCCTCTTGTCTTTCCCATTTTATTTTAGCTTACGACCGATTTATCACGGAAAAATATTACAAAATCAAGTAGCAAAGATTCGTGAAAATTTTTAAATTTTACGCGAAAAGTGACGTAAGAATAGGATGGGTCACGTGACAATGACAATATCTATCAGAAAGTTTTTCGAAATTTTAATTAATTCGCTACAATTTTTTTCCTATCTCATGATTTTCGAATTGCCAGAACCCGTGCAATCATCTCATTTGATGATTAAAATCCCATCGTAAACATGTTCCGAAAAGAATTTCATTCTCGTTTGTGGCATCGTATCGTGCTAGAAACAGATCGAAATCTTAGCGTCAACGGAATGGAATTGGACATTGCAACGAACTAGATTTCGTTAAAAAATTTCACCTTGGCAATCTTCTTTCAATCGTAATCGTTCATAGAATATTATACCGCATCGACGACACCTTGTATTTTCACCGTTCATACACCTTGTATGTCTGGATTTTGACAAAATGCACTCGCTCGAAGAAAACGTTGCAGTCAATACAACTTCGGTTGTACAGTCCGTCGAAATTCTTTTGTCCTCGCTTTGTCTTTCGCGAATCCACTTTTGTGTTAGCATCGCTTCCAAATTATTTTTCTTATATAGAGAAATGTTAAATGAGATGCAATATAATTGTATAAAGTGTTAGCGAGGAGTCGAGATATCGTAAGTTGAAAAACTTTTAAGGAAAAGAGGACAGCATCGTCAATATTAATTCGGTGAGACTGTACTAATCGTGTCATCGACCGTACAGTCTATAGAAACCGTTTTACTATCGAAAAAATCGCACGATGTTAGTTTTCGTGGTAATAAAATCTAATAATTGAGCAATAAAACATATTGTTTGGCGAATTTGTTCGAATACGTACGTTTATCCATCCTAACAAACCATGCTCGCGTATTGTCAATAGCAAATCAGCTGACTGTACGTACATACGAATAGCGGGAGAAGTACAGTATATTAAAAGGTTATGTCAAACTAAAATTTGTACCGTGTACTTGTACCCGTTGATACTTAACAAAATATAAAAATTTCGTGAGAATTATGTCTTTACTCGTTTGAGTCATGATTTTAGTTACGTATCTCAGAATGAAAGAAATATTCTATTCGCCAAGAACCATACTGGTCAATTATTTTAACGAGTGACTGTACGACCGACAAGACCGCGTTTTACAGGGTTAGCTCGGATACGTTCGCCCACCTTCGCCGGAATTGTATTGACCCATAAAAGTGCCCATATTATAGCGCTCGCAATTCATGAATTAAATAAAAATTGAGTACGAAATTTAGTAGAGATACTCGACGAAAGAAACGTTATTTTATTAACTTTGCCTAACAATACGCGCTCTACGTTTTGAAAAAAAAAAAACGTATTAAGCACGATCAATCTTTCTTTTAAATATTGTTCATTTAAACGTATTAAAAATTAAAAGTAGCCAGACAAATGTTGCGATTAAGCAGGATAGTTTTGCGATCGTAAAAGGTTAACGAATAGTCAAGAAACGGTATATTTGAATTGGCCGGGTGTATAGGAGACAAGAGAGATTGCGTCGTGGAACAGATCGTAAACTGGTAACATCCGTCAATCAAATGTACGTTTATACGTTTACCCTGGCCTATATAGGTTCAAAGGTTCGTTCACCCTCGATCGTTGATTCGAAAAGAATTTCAACGTCGACTTCGAAATCATGTTCGATGTTTCGCGTGTACAGTAATCGAACGGTTACGTCAACTTTGTCAGTCGCGATGTTAAGTAACTGGTAAATTGTTTCGATGTGAGGAGTGTAAGGAGTGGGAGAAACGCGAGCGATCGATCGATCGGATAAAGTTCAGAATCGAAAAATGAGCGCATTTCGCGCGGTATTTCGTTTCATATTCTGTTCGTAGTGGTTGTTGTAACTGATCTGCCCGTTGGCCGGTCGATCAGTGCAACGCAACATAAAGGTTCAGTCGCGCCCTCGCGTTCGTCGACATCACCGTCTACCTACCACTGACCACCGACCACCGACCCGTTTCACCGTAGTTTCCGCCCCGAGCTCCAGGTAGTAGTCGAGGGAGCTGGATCAATTTCCGGATATTCGCGCTCGAAGATATCGTTTCGAGATCGAATAGCGTACAGCAACGTTCTTACGGTTTTCCGAGAACATCGATTACGAGTCGCGGAAACGAAAAATCGGAAATAAATCATGAGCATGTTGGTAATTGTACCGTTGATGCTCCTCTTTTTCATTCAACTGCCGATCGTTCTTTGCGGGGTATGTACCGTCATTTTTTTTTCAATGACTTTGAAACAACGTCATACCGTTTTCTGGTCGTTTTCTCCTCTTTTATTTTTTTATTCTTTCCTATCGTTTATCCTCAAGTTTGTAACTTTTTTTATCTTTTAATTTACTAAATCTATACTTTTCTTTTGAACGCAAAGCTCCGATCCAATTTCGGAGAACAAATATCGGGAGTTACGCGCATCGATTCAAGAAAGATGAACGCGTTGCATGCAACGAATCTAGTTCGATATTTGCGACGATCCGATTCGATATCGAATAAAGCGACGATATTTCGTAGACACGACCGAGTTTCGTTTCCGATGAGATGATCGCGACCGCGGCAAGCGTTGTGAACGCTTGTCAAACGCAGACTGGAGTGGCGACAGGTATGATCTTTTCTTTCCACGGCTGATCAAATCGTCGGGCGCATCGAAGCTCGAATTAACTCTGATTTCTTCGTTGTTTCAGTGGATATAGAGGCGGTAAGGAACGGCGAGTGGCCGGAGAGGCGGCAACTAAAGGTAGATACCGTCGCGAATTACGTGTACGATTTTCGATAGAGAAAAAAAAATAACGATGATCTTTGATCCGTAGTGTTACATGTACTGCCTGTGGGAACAATTCGGGTTGGTCGACGACAAAAGAGAGCTCAGCTTGAACGGCATGCTAACATTTTTTCAAAGAATACCGGCTTTTAGGGCAGAAGTTCAGAAAGCGATCAGCGAGTGCAAGGGGATCGGTAAATATTTGGGTATCTATGGTGCATTTTGTATTATTCTCGTCCGATCGATCGATCGATCAAACGTTTCCGAATCAGAATCAAATATTGTGTCCTGCAACCAAGCACATATTTATTGGTAACGTTTCGTTGGCTCTTTCGCGTTACGTGCGATCCATCGAATCGAGCGCGACCGTTTTGCTCGATAATCGATAATTCGAACGATCCTTTCAGCCAAAGGCGATAACTGCGAGTACGCTTACACGTTCAACAAATGTTACGCGAAAGCATCCCCGCGGGTAAGTATTTTCGTCTTCCTTCGACGGATAATGGTTCCGATGTCTACGGAGAATTCTCTTCTTATTCTAGACCTATTATCTATTTTAACGTGTCATCGGGATTGTTCGGAACAAAGGAGAAACGAAACCAAAGAGAAAACGGTGCTCGAGAAAATGTCTCGCTAAATGGTTTGGTTCACGATGTTTTACCATGTATGGAACCGTAATCGTATTCGTATTCGTACAAGTGTAAACGAGTCTTTGTACATGTCAAATTAATAAACGAAAAAGTTTACCAATTATTCGTCTCTTAAATTATTCTCGTTTTACTACTCCTTGACGACGTTCTTCGTTGCGTTCATCGTTGTGGTCATCGTTGTGATCATTGGAGAGGACAAAGGGAGAAAGAAAATGTATATTCGGCGATTGTACGCCACGCGTGATCCCGTGGATCGAGGACAAAGAAACGAGCGAATCGAGGTGTCAATGATACGAAGCCGTGATCGTCAATCATCAACGTTGATCGCAATTTCCGATGCTACGTTGTTCCCTCCAATTGTCAATTGAGGTCGTATGTTCCAGGACACGTGGAAATTGAACGCTTTTATACTAGTGATAAGTTTAATTGACAAACAGCCGAACTGCTTCGGATTTTGCCTCTTGCGTTTAGGACGGATCGAATTGAAAACGAACGCGTTGTTTCTACGTCGCGATATATCGTTTCGTAAACGTTTTCGTAAACGACTTTACACTCGTTTTTGTGTGACAAATGAATCTATAATTTCAACGTACTCGATACGTAATGATACTTTGAGCTTATTCGCGGATTAAACGCGCCGTTACGAGACAACTATTATGTTGGCCTAATACAAGAAACCCGAGTTTATTGAGCGTTACTTCGTATTTTTTCGATTGGCACGCTATGCGAAAAACGGCGCGCGATCACTCTTCAATTTCGAATCGACTCTATACTTTTCTTGCAATTAGCGCCACTGTATTTACACTAAACTTTATGTTCGCTTCGAATCGGAAACATTTTGCCGGTATAATTAGCAACGCCCGAAAGAAATTAAGCGTTTGCGTGCATCGCCGTCTATCGCGTAAGAATAAGCGGGGTGCGCAATAAAAAGTACCATTTTGATTAATCGTCGATTCGAGGAGATAAACACATGACCAATTTACCCCGTATCCGTCAACCGATTACGGCATGCATATAAATCCCACGAATTTCCAATAGCGATGCAGTCTATCGGTGTGTTCGGTCCTAACGAAACGGAAACGAAAAATCGTTAAAAGCATGAAGATCGCGATGTTTTGGCTAATTTTGTCGTGTTTGTTCACGTCGCGACTCTTTGTTCGTGCAGCTATAGAAGACCCTGAGGGTTTTCATAAGGTTACTTCTTCTGTAAGAAAGAAATGTATCGCGGAAACGGGAACAACAGTTGGTAAGCAACTAAGCCATTAGCAAAACATCTCTTCGCAAATATGATGCAACAGTATTTATTATTCCAGAGGATGTTGAAAATACCGAATACGGACAGTTTCCCGATGATGACCGATTGAAATGTTATTTTAAATGTGCACTAGAAAAGTTTAAAGTGGTAATGTATGGTTGTACGGCCGCTTTTCGCGTTTGATAGAGAAATAACCGCTTAAGGTGTTCTTTTGTTTTTACTCAGATGGATAAAAAGGGCAATATGAATTTCGATATAGTGAGGAAAACAATACCAAGTGTGTATAAAGACATACTTGACGACATGATCGATACTTGTTCAGATATCGGTAAGTACTGCGACGAGTCTTTTATCTCGCTACGCGTGCACGCATGCTACTTAACTGGTTGCGTTTTTACTGAAAACGTCATAAACTTTTTAGGTGGAAAGGACAAATGCGCGAAAGCTTTTAATTTCATGAAGTGTATGTTTCAAGCGAATCCTATTGTAAGTCAAATAACATTATTTTTTATATTCCATTGTACTCTTGTAAGGAAGAAAAATATTCTTGACGTTTCTTTTCTAGGCTTACCTCGCGCCATAAATGATTCTGCCCGTGACCGTGATGCGAGTGCGATGTGTGTATACGACGACGAAACAGGGTGAAATAAAAATATTACAGATTATAAAACGCATTTAACGTCGTTTCTTCGCGAGTAGATACTCTCGATAACCGCGTTCCAATCCTATTTATGCGGAAATCCTACATGATACTATTGTTAGTTTGTCCGTTTATTGACAATTCACAGTGTCGACTAAATGTTCACGAATTCGATAAAGTACCGATCATGTCTTACGCGGTTTGGTCTTTCTCTTGTTAATGTTCATTATTTGTTCGACAATGATATCGTCGGTTCTCGGATCTATAGGAACCGCCTGAATCGGAGTTCTGGTATTCGGAGTCGGTTTCGACCACCTTTCGATCAAAGCGCTCAGCCATAACCACAGTTTTTCTCGATTAAAGAACGCGATTGTGACGAGCACGATGAAAGGTAACGCGATTATGGACGTTTGATTCATGTCGCTTTGATCAATTTTTCGTTCCGCGTTGAACGTCAACTTCACGTATTTGAACGACGAGTTCGCCTCGAAATAAAACGGTACAGTTCTGTACTTGTGCAACGTATGGGACAACGAAGACTCCAATTGTACAAAATACTTTCTACCGTCTGCCTGTAACGGCGGTAGATGTACGAGAAAACCGGCATTGTAAGCACTACCGATTTTACTAAACTGTTGAGCCTCCAATTTTGCCGTGTGTATCGGAGAATCGGGCATATCTTCTCTGCAGAGCTTTACTTTTAACGTCCGATAGTGTTCCGGCTGTACAGACACAACGTGTACCGAAACGTCGGTGCGCGGTATCGGATGAAACGCGACCAAACGAAGCCCGCGAATGTCCGTTGCAGTTTTTATCGTTATGGACTCCGGACTAGTGCGTTGAATGTGCGCGTTAACTTCTGCGTTAGGTTTCAACCGAAACACGTAGGTACACTAAAAATTGGAAAAAAGAACGATGCACAGTTTAGTATATCCTCTCGTTGAACAATAAATAAATTATTTACCGTAGGTTGAAGTCCTCTAATTCGGAAGTTGCCATTTTCTTCGGTGGTCGCTTCTTCTTGAAGATCATCGCAATCTCCTTGGCCTTGGATTTCCACCAATAAACCAGCTTCGGGCTCACCGTTTAGAGAAGTCACAGAACCATACGCGCTAAAAGCGACTCTTTTGCCGAAAAGATTCACCCTCACGGTTGCACCTTCCGCGACTTTGATCATTTTCGACGAAGGATCGAAACGATATTCTTTCATCATCGGTCTCAAATAGTATTCACCGGGGAAAAGAGAATGGAAAATCAATTTTCCGTCTTCGCCGGTTACGCTGTTTTTTCGGTAACTTTGTCCACCGGACAAGGATAATAAAACACCCTGTATAAAAAATAAGCGTTATTTTCTTTTGTCTTTTACAATTTGTGATCGAATTTTGTTTCGAAGATATACCTGTAACGAAGCATTGTCTGCTTGATCAGAAACTTGTACGATAATTTCGGCTAACTTGTGAGCTGAAAATACTCCGTTGGAATCGGGTCCAGTTATCACGAAACCTTCCTTCTTCGCGGTAACGCTGATCGTAGAAAATTGGGCAAATCAAATTTTTATCTCGATGTATCGAAAGGTGAAAGAAGAAAAGGGAACGATTATAAATACCTATAGTCTATTTTTCCGTCTAAGGGACCAACATTGTACTTTCCATCCTTTTGCGTAACCAGCGTATGTATAGGTGAACTTTTGTCGTTTCCAAATATCTGTATCGTGACTCCTTCTAATGCTGGATCGATTCTACCAGCAATGATCTGCGCGATAGAACATACTATATACTTTAATCGACTGGTCTATCGATCGTAACGAAGAAAATTTACCTTTCCCATATCCCCGATGAATGTAGCAATGTCATTTTGACAATCGTTCACGCCTAATACTTTTAACGACGGAGGAGTAAAGAGGAGAACGTCGGACAGGGGCGTTATACTGTATACGTTGTCCGTTTTTGCTTTGAACTCGAATTCGTATTTATATGAATTTTCTTGTTGCACCGATTTCAATGGTCCAAGTCTATTATAATTATGGAACAATGTATGAATATACTTTCAAAAGGTCTTAGATACGCGAACGATAATTGTTTGCTTACGTCGTAACGTCACCTCCATTTTCGATCTTTACTTTTATTCCGTCTAACGAAGAGCTACTTAAAATGCTTCCCTTGTGACTATGTTCCGTCGAATGCAATAAAATGGGAGAAAGGGCGTTGGTATCCCACGTGTACGACGTTTTGTCGTAAACGTGACAGCTCCTCGGAACGAACGTGTACGTTCCAGGTTCGGATACGCAGTGCTTTGTACTTCCTTTATTCAAAGTTAAAGTTAATTTTTTTGCTTTCGGATCTTTCGGTTCCGAATACTCGACAACGGTATCGTGAGAAGATATGAAGGTAACAGAAAATCCAGTTTGTTCGAAGGCCGGTAATTCGGCTCGCTCCGAAGTTACAGAAAACCTGTAACTTGGATTTGCCCAGCAAAATATATCGTTATCGATCAAGATTTCGTAATGACCGGGCAAAACGTCCGTAAACTGATAATGGCCATCTGTGTGATAAAAAATAACTTCACGAGCGACACGATAGTACCAAATTGACTAATAGAATGGTATCACCGTGACAACAAGAACGTGTTATATAAGTTGTTGTATTTGATAAAATGGACAAATCCGATTTCGTTTCAACCGTGTGCGAAAATTGAAATTAACGTAAAAGGATGCGTTATGTACGCTTAATTATTTTCACACGAGCTTGTTATCACGATTATTATAGCGAAAATCAAATTAGAACATTACACAATGTAAATTTATAAAGTTACTAAAGCCTTACCCTTTGATTGAATCGTCTTTATCGTGATTCCATCGAGTACCTTTAACGTGACAGAAGCTTGACTGCAATCAGTGCCGGCTAAACATTTCACCGTGCCCGTTAACGTTGCTTTCAATTGTAAAAAGTCTACATTTCGCACTGGTCGAGATGACACATCGATGGTTTGTTGCAACGGGAAAAATCTACAAACATGTATCGATTAGAAATCATGACTGAACGTGAAAAGAAAATAGAATACTTACTGTAAGCCTTCGGCTCTTTCTTCGGCGTTTACGATAACGCTTAACTGATATCTATCAGGGGCAAGGTATAAACAAAATTCTCCTGTTTTCGGATCTGTGTCTATCTCTTTGTTAAACGTAGCTGCGGTATTCTGTATGGCAACTTTTCGATGATGTAAAGTACCTTTCGCGGATAGGGTAACTTTGCCGCACACTTTATACGCTGCTGGTATTAGAACAGGAAGTTGTGTAGAACTGGGAGAAATCTTGACTGATATCTCATTGAACAACAGGTCCTCTGTATGTTGAAAATAGTACATAACACAAGATGAACCGTTCGATCTCGGAGGAATATGGTACAAGAAATTGGTAATGAACAAAATAAATTATATATACCGCTTTCAACTTTCAAAGTATATTGACCAGCTTTCATTTGACTTAATTCGTATTTTCCTTTATCGTCCGTTATAGCGACTTTCTTCTGAGAAAGTAAAACTTTTGCTCCTGCTAGAGGTTCTCCATTTACGGCGGTACTTACGACACCGTGAACGGTAAAGCCAGTCACTTTAAAATCTTGTAGCACGACACTATTGTGATGCACTTCGAAAAGCAATTTATTCGGTTCTACGTGAAATTTAGTTTGATCACCGGTATCGTATACCGCAAGCGTGTATTCGCCAGGCGATAAACTTGGAAGCACGAATTTACCACTTTTGTCTGATACAACGTAACAGAGAGGTTGTAGATTGCCTATATTTTTGTTATTGGGCAGTGCACAATTTTTAGCCACGCCATTCTGTATCGCGATAAACATTAAATCCGATTAAGTTATAATCATCTAGATCATGAAATATGTATAAATAGGAAAAGGAGTCAAGCTCTTACGCCAAATAGAAGAAAAGATACACCGCTGACAGCTTCTTCTTCGCTAGCAACTTTGCCACTTACATCGTATCCAAAAATAACTAAACTACCATCTGGGAGTTCCATATTACCTTCTTGTACCGTTACTTTGACAGTATCTGTTTTAAACATCCAACTAAAAGATAAAATAAAATGACTACCATTCTTTAGTAACACGATTAGATCGAGTAATTTATGAAATTTACGTAGGATGCGACGCGACAAGTACATATCGTCCATGTTGTAATGGAGTAAAATAGAAGGTACCACCTTCTGTCGTAGTGGTTGTACCAACAGGTACCTGTAGGTTGCTTTCTTTATATAATGTGACAGTAACTCCTTTAGGTCCAGAATCTGACCCTAAACTGATAACCTAAAATGCAATATATTTTTAATAATATGTCAAATTTGAATACTGATTTATTTAAACCTCTTGTGCCTTAAAAATATTTAAAGGGATAATTTACCCTGCCTGTGATACCAAAACCTTTGAAAGTAAAGTTGATATCTTTGCCTTGACTGCACGCGTCAGTAGTTCCATCCACATTCAGTATAATTTCTGTAGGTTCAAAACTCCATCCTTTGGGTGGATCTACCTAATCAATTTAATTGTACGACATGTTATACAAAAGTTAATGATTTGTCAAACAGCTTTAAGACTTATTTATTTCATGTTTATTCCTCTGTTAGATAGATGTATCTTAATTACCTTTAAAATATATTCTCCTTTATCGTATAAGGGAAGAAAGTAATAACCATTATTAGGGGCACATTCTGTATAATCCTTAAGGCTGCCAGCCTTCGTGTATCTAAATTGAGTAAGAGTTTAAGTCATTATGTACAAATTTAATTTGCAAAATTAATTATGTACTCACAATTTTATCAGAACTTTTGCAAAATCGATATCGGTGTGACTTTTTAAAAATCCACCACACCCTAAAATATCTTCGGCATTACAATATGCTATTAACGTGTAAAAATAAAATAAATGGAGATATATTATTCGTTTCATGTTTATCCTTCTGTTCTAACATTTGTACATGCTGCTAAAAAGTAACGTGTTCACGATAATGACTCGGTGTCTTAGGTACAACGGCCGGACTACAGCGATACGTAGCAGTGACTCGAATAAATAAAAGATGATAATTTTGAGCTGCGTAGATAATGTCCTAATAAATTGTTTCCTACTTTACCAACAGTAAATAACAATGGTATGTGTATATACATATATATATATATATTATCAAGTTTTATTGTAAACTATGAAAAACTTTTTTTAGAATGAATGAACGACTGATTTCTGAACGATATTTTACATTTTATTCAACAATTTCATAAAGTGGACGGTCATTGAGCAAATGCATATTTGTAAATAAATACATATGATAAATGCGCACGCGCATACGTTTATAGACGATTCAAATGTTGTTCTGCGCTATTTACGTAAAATATACGTTTCAAAACCATAACGTTTGATCGTTTGATTAGAAAAAAACGACACGTTGGTGCAAAGAGTGTTCAGGTATCGTTATTCGTCATCATAAATTTGCATAGGAAACATAATTGCAAAGCTGGTAACCGACGATTAGTAACATAACCTCCAACTCTTTACGTTGTCATTGCAGTAGATGTAAAAGACCAAATATTGTAAAACGCGTATAGTTGCTGTATCAGAGGAGAAGAAAATCTTGACGAAATGGTGAAGATAGCTTTGCAGATAAAAGTTACGCTAGAGAATATACAGGAACTTAGACCATCGGGACCAGAATTTAGATGGTATTTCAAGTTTTGTTGTAGCAATTGTGGCGAAGTATCTGAAAAGTGGAATTATGTGTCTTTGAACGAGTCTATTCCAGCTCAAAGAGGAAACGCTGTGAATCATATCGTGATCAAGTGCAAACTCTGTTCTCGCGAAAACAGTTTAACCATTTTGGAAGACTCTATAAAACCGTACATCGCGGATGATCAAGATAAATTTCAGACGATCGCGACGTTCGATTGCCGAGGTCTCGAACCTACCGATTTTTCGGCAAGGGAAGGATGGATTGCCAAAGCGATCGACGATGGAAAGGAATTTACAGATGTGGATTTATCTGATGGAGAGTGGGCCGATTACTGTGATAAGATTAAAGAACCTGTTGGAATTTATCAAATCGAGCACAAATTTGCAAGGATTAAATAAAAGGTTGTTAAATCGTTAAAATCTATTGTTATACCAAGATATTTGGCAGAAAAGAGACACAACATAATAAATGTTTTTAGTATGTAAGATTCGAGGAATTTGTTCGTGTTTCTGTTCTTTGCTCTACTAGTTTTTCGTATATCAATGTATTTTACTATATAGTCTAAAGCGTGTTCATAGGTATCTGCATCTATCTAATATACATTTAAAGCTGGAATCTTTAAAAGAAATATTGTTGTATCGCTACTTCTTTTTTTTTTGTAACAGATTGTATCGCATTAAAGCATAAAAAATATACTAGCTTTACATACATACCTCTTTATCGTTTTTAATAAAAAGTAGCAGGGTATGTAAAACACGATTAACCCTGCCTCTTTGGATATCGTTTAAAGAACAGATACATAAAATTATGGAAGCTGTCTACGTATAGCATTCTCTAGGCACTAGATACAGCTAAAACAAACAAACGCACGTTTCCAACGACGTAATATAATTTATTCATAATCATATAAAAAAACACCATTTAATCTCGTAAATGGTTTAGTACACAGAAAATTTGCAACAATAATTTCGTGTCCCGTCAAAGTCGATTCAAAACTGTCGATCATACCCTGCACAAATATAACCAGATGACTAGCATTGCTCGTTAACAGGGAAACAGTTTGAACGTTTAATTCGCTAATCATTCGACGAGTCATCGAAGATTTCAAGCAAGACTACAAGAAAATTTACAACTCGTCTCTTTGTTTACATCTTCGGAATGTCTCGATCTACTTAATTAATTAAAATAATGAAAAAACGATAATAATAATAATAATAATAGTAATAATAATAAGAAGGAGAAGAATAGGAGTTAATAACGGTAGTAATAATAATATAGTAATCGTCGTGTCGTTTACTTGGATCGTTTAAGAAAAGAAAAGTAGATCTGTATTCGATTAAAAACCAAGTATATGTACACGCGCCGAGTATGGAAAAAAAAAAACAAAAAGGTTCTCAGAGGCACGTGGAAGCATGAAAATTTTCCACGAGTTACGTCGATAACTCTTAAAACTGGCTATGCGAGTCGTAATCACAGTTTTCAACGAAACGAGCGAGTAAATCACAAAGGGGGATGATAGTTTCCATGAAACGGCTGCAGATAGAAACAGTCGTTTAGTTCGGTAATCGGTTAGTTAGCTAGCGTACTAGGTATTTCGCTACCACTATTGTCCTCTAATATTTCATTTACTACGGTGTTTCTAGCACATCTAACACAAACATAAATATCATGTGCGTATTACGAATCGTCGTTCCTCGATGAACCGTTTAACATATAAATCACATGTAAATAATCGTCATTGAACGCTTACGTCTAACAATAATATCGATAACGCTATCAGTCTATTCTCGCAAAAATATCACTGTGTTTCGAAAGTATCTCGTCTACCTCGTCAGAGCGAAAGATTCGCGAAACGCTGATCGAGAAATTTTCTGCGGAAAGGAAAAGAAGTCCGTCGAGTTTCTTGTCGAATTCGAGGAATCGTTTCGAGCGCGATTTATAAAGACAGACGCGAAGAAAGTAAAGAACGTTTCGCGATAATCGAATCTGACGAGTATATATGGAAGATGACGATTTTTTCACGTAACGCGGTATACGGTGTTCTTTCTCTACGAAACTGAAATAAAAACGATACTAGTAAGAGCTGTCTAATAGTAAGAACGCGTATTTAGCTGAGTTAACTAAACGGTTTTCTAATGCTACCGTGCTAAACTATTATCTTTGGTATACTAACGGGAAACGTTCGTCCCATCGACAAAAATCTACCACGTTTTTGCCGCTAATCCGTTTACCGTGGCTCTCTTGTTTCGAAAGTACGAATTATCGAGTAGAAATAGGAACATTACGAGTAATATAGATAAGTGAAACGTCGTAAAGCGCGCGACGCGATCGAAAACTATGTACGCGAATGGATGATCGTGCCATCGATCGACGATTTCCGCGATCAAACGCTTCTACCGAAAGTAATCGATTCGACGAACGAGAAGGCTCGTCTAAACGCGTTGACTTTCACCACGGGAATAACTCGTTCGCTCGACGATTCAATTTGCTATATCGAATTGCCATCGTAGAGAACATTCTTTCGTTTCCCTCATTATTTCAAGCGACTCGTCGTATGTTGTATCGGTACCGGCCGTTCATCGATGATTCTCGTGGCAGTCAACGCGTTAACTTTCTTTTAAACGCGAATCGGTCGCGAACAGAGTAAAGACGCAGGAAGAAAGAAGAAACGAAAAATGAAAAGAAGACGGTAGATCGTAACGTTGACGCGGAACAAAGAACGCGAGAGAACGATGGCTCAGAAAAGAAGTAAGAAGTTGAGAATTTTGATTCTCTTACCGTGTAGACAGGCAGAAAAATATATCGATTCCCTTTTAAACTAGGTAGAGATTCAGCTACGCCGTGTACCGTTGACTCCCGGTATCTCGAGTCTCGAGATCACGTTATAATTCGGTACAACGTTATGCGAGGAGAGACGGAGAAGGAGAGCAAGCGATTATCCTCGAGGTAAAAATCGAACCGAAAGAGGATCGTCAGCTTCTTCTTGTCATCGCATCGTCTCGTTTTCGTCGCGCGACGAAGCACCGTGCGTTCCTCGATCGCCAACAAATCCAACGAGGAAGTTCAGGGTAATCGATTGGCCATCACCGGTTCCAAGCACGTTTGTTTCAGAGTCGCCGACTGATCTTCGAGACTTCGCTTAAGACCCTCGATAGTTTGCATCAACATTTGCCTTCGTAGTTGCGAAAGCTGGTGTTGAAAGATTTGCGAATCTTGAACGTTGGCGTTCGCGGCTAATCGTTCTTGTCGCAATCGAGCCACCTTCTCCCTCAAAGATCTCCTCGAGTCGTCTGCGTCGGTGAAACGGCAAAGAGTTTAGCGATTGACGCGAAAACCCACCTGCTTAAATAATTGGAAGAGATCGCTTACCGGTGTCGTCGGTAGCGGTGTCACCGTCCGAATTTCTTAACGCCACTTGTTCTCCCAACGTCTTTTGGATTCTATCGTAAGTAGCGCTACCCGCGTACACTTTCCTTTTGACCGGTTCGCTTTGCGGACAATAGGAAAAAGCTTCCTTGATCGGGCCCATGTCGACCGATCTGTGGAGAAAGAGCACGAAACGTTTGTTCGTTCGAATATCGATAAAAAGAAACGTAATCGTCGGTTTAGACGGTAGCTAACCTGAAAGTCATCAGTGGCGCTCTTCTCCTAACGTCGCATTTCTCTTCCGAATCCGAGGAGCTCGAGGTGATTCCTTCTTCCTTGCCGGACGATCTCGGGACGCGACAGTCTCGATTCGAATCGGAAGGATCTCGGTGAGCGAAGATGGCGCGAGCCCTGTTCTGGAAGCACGGCTGAGAGCGCGCGAAAGGAGCGTCGAGGTCCGATCGAAAAGCGTCGTTGCTATTGAAAGGCGTCGTTCGTCGTGCTACGTCGGTATCCTGATGCTCGTAGACGCTCGGCCTGGGATAACGAAGCAAACTGTTGGTAGGCGAGAGGCCGGGCGATGTTCTTCTCGAGGGAAGCGGAGAGTCTGACAGGCCCTTGATCGGCAACGGCGTCTCTTGCCTGTTATACGGGTTATCGTTCAAATGATAGCCGGTAATCGGCGACGCGTTCCGTTCTACGAGTCGGCGCATCGGAGACGGAAGAAATTGTCTCTTGGGACTGGTGTGCTCGATGTCCTTGATGTTACCGCTCTGCAATTCCGGTTGGGAGTTTCTGCTTTTCGATAGAGCGAGTTCGATGTTTAACTCCGTGTTCTTGATCAGTTCGACTCGTTTGTTCGCGAGACCGTTGTGAAATTTACGGGAAGGCGATGGCACTATAGGCGCGCTGCGTTGATTCTTTTGCATGTTCACCAAAATATTCTCCGCCTCGAGGATCAATTCTCGATACTTTTTGTCCGCTTCCTTGTCCGCCTCCATCAAAGCGATCTCCGAGGCGAACGCGGTCACGTAGGCGTTGCCGTTGATTCGTCGCCTGACGAGATTACCGTTCACGTAACTCACCTTCGAACAGGGAAAAGAAGGAAACGCGATCGATTACGATTACACCGAGCGGGTCGACGGAAACGAAGGAACAGAAGAGAACGATTTTTCGCGCGCTTACCGAATTGGAACGTCTCTTGAGGATCTCCTCCGTGTCGAGGCCGGTGACTCGAGTCGTCGATCGTTCGTCGTTCGACCTTATAGGCGACGGATTCTCGTTAACGTCGTGTTTCCGACGACGCAGACAGATCGGTGTTCCGCCTACGCTTCTGCTACCTTGATTAAAGCCCGAGTTCTTCAGTAGCATTCTCTCGACCAATACTCGGTTCATATTCGCCGTTTCCTCCTCGTCGTCCTCTTCTTCCTCCTCCTCCTCCTCGTCGTCGTCCTCGTCGTCATCGTCGCCTATTTCGTCGTCGCAGCCACGGCCACCGTCGCGTTTCTCCAGGTTCGACTTGCGCCGCTGACCGATTCTCTTCTTGCGCTTGTCGCTCTGCTGTTTCTCTTCCGATTTCTTGCGTCGCGCGCTCTGTCTCTTACCATTATTTTTCACGCTGATCGACCTGAAAACGATAACGACGCGCTGTACGTGTTTCCTTCTCGAAAAAGACCGATCGATCCGCCTTACCTTTGAAGTATTGTAGCGTCGTCCCTGTTTCTGCGCCTCGTCAACGATTCCCGCAATTTGCCGCTTCGTCGAGCGGGTTCACCGGTGAACGCGAAGTAGGTACAGTGACCGGTATTGGGGAAATGCGCGGAACAGTCGAGACCGTCGAGATCGAGGAACGAGGAGCCGTTATCGATGTAATCGAAATCGTCGTTCTCCACCGGATCGTTCTCGTCGCCGGCGTCTTGGACCGCGTCCGGATCCGACAACGATTCGACGTAGTCCTCGCAATCTGTCGGGTCGCTGTCGGACAAGATGTCCGTTTCTTTCTCGTACACGTAACTCTCGTCGAATTTGCCCATCATTTCGTTCAAGGTAACGTCGTCCTCGGACGACCTGACGCTTCGCGTGATCGACGAACCGGACGAACCGTTGCCGTTGCCGTCGCTGCTATGATCCTGGTTGCTGCCGCTACTTCCGTTGCTGGCACTGCCGCTACCGCTACTGCTGCTGCTGCGGCTGCTGCTGCTGCTTCGTCGTTGCACCGGTAAAGCTATCTTCGGCCGAATCTCCAGACCGGACGCTATTCTCCAATTATGATGTATCCTGTTACGAGAAACGAGAACGTTAGAGAGAGAAGAAGATCGCGAACGTAGAAGCGATCGAAGCGATACTAACGGACTTCGTCCAGCGCTGAGGCTCTCGTGTTTCGAATCCCTCCTGGCGAACGCTTCTCGCGTACCGTTCGCGTTCACGTCGCTGGCGCTTCCGGAGGATTCGGTGAGCTTCAAGCCGGAGCCGCTGCTGGTGTCGTCCAGGTTCGATCTGGACTTGAAGCCGGTACTGCTCGAACCGGACGAATTGGCCGAAAGCCACGGATTGGTTCGGATGCGAGAGCGTTCACGGGGCGACTGTATCGTGGGCGATAGGAGCGGTGGCGGTATAGACGATGGCACGGTTTGGTTATTTCTCGACGTGTTCGCGGAAAACGATTCGGTGCGCCGATGATACCTCTCCTGTTGCGCCTGCGATTGCGTCTGCGATTGCGTCAGCTGTTGCCGCTGTTGTTTAGTATCGTGGTTCACCAGACGTTCACCGCCGACCTGTCGGCAATAGAATTAACGATGAATCGATGATCGGTTGCTCTCGCAAGCGCGCGTCCTTCTTTTCGGTTTGTTTTTACGAACAGAGCGCGACGCTTTCGGAAAAGCACGGTATCGCTTGCCACGTGGTCGGAAGTCGTACGCGCAGGAAGAGCAGGTGGCCGCGTTAAAAATGTCGCGAGACGCAAAGATACGCGAAGAAACTTTCAACGGAGAAAAAGAAAGTGATAAGAGCGATGGCGATAAATCGATGTCACGTGCCTCGTTAGGGGTGCTGGTTCGGTGGTCTCTCGACGGATGATCGGTGTCTCTGGTGGTCATACTCGCGGAGGAGGACGGTTCGACGTTGCGATCGAACTTTCCATGTCTCGGGAGGAGAGTAGCGGATGGTAGATCCGCGGCCTCGACCGGCCTTTTCGGTCTGCCGTTGGCGGTCGCGGCACTGCCGACGCCGTTGCTTTGAAAATAATGAGTGCCGGTTCTGATGTTGATGTAATATTCCGGGGGATAACTGGTTCCCGGCGAAGTACCGTCCGTCGAGTAGCCGGTGCTGTACGCGCTTTCCGGAGAGGAGAGATTGACACTAGCCGTACCGGCGGGACGTGGCCGAGGAGGTTGTCACGGTGCCGTTGCGGCTGCTTCCTTCGTGCAACCGAATTCCGTCCACGTTCTTCGTCGGCGAGTCCACCGGATGAACCTGCGAATCGAATTCGGATCGGTTCGAGCGAGAGAACGAGGATATCGACAGGCGAGGCGAGGCTCGTCTCCACGGACGAATAAGTGGCGGCAAGAGCCGGTAAAAGATAAAGGGTGGAAGAGGGCAGTCGGTATCGCCTAATTGGATAGCCAAGGCCCGCTAGAGGAAAACGAGCCAGTCGGAGCTCGGCGGGAAGAAAAAGAAGAGGAAAAGCGGCTCTTTCAGCGGTCACGAAACAACGAAGCCAATTCTCCGCAGTCGCCGTCCTCCTCTTTCTTTTCCTCCCTTTCGCGCTTACTCTTCCTCTCTCCCTCTCTCTCGTTACCCGTTGGTTCTTCAAATAGCAAAAAAAAATCTGCGCGAAGGAAAGGTCGACGCGACGCGCTTCGGCGTCGTCTCGAAATTTTTCACGACCGCGGTCTCCGAGGCCTAATTTACGTCGGCGAAATAAGCGAGCGGCACGATCGTCTCGCCTCGTCGTTTACGCGAGGATAGCGAGCGGAATTTTCCTAATGGCGCGACGATCGCTCTGCCGCTTACTCGACGAACGTAAACTAGCAGCGAGGATTAACCAAGAAGGTTGACGCTCACTTGATGCAACCCGGGAGATCTGTTGGCGGCGTAGTTTCTGGGAGAGTTGCAGTTCGAGTCGAACCCTTTGTCCCCTTTCTTCCTGTCTTTCTTCTTTTTCGATCGCACGATGTGTGCTTCCATCCACGTGCGCAATTTCGTGCCGAACATGATGAGCGATGTTCGCCGGACGAATCGGCGAAACTGCCTTCTCGAAAATAGCCGATCGGGCCGAACAACTTTCTTCTCGTTCGTCCACGAGAGCCGTCGTCGAATCTCGATCAAGCTCCGCGATCGATGGGCGACCACGCGCCCATCTCGGGACCGATCGAATCGGTTCGCGCGAGGGCCAAACGGATCAGAGTCTCTCGCGTGTTTTCTCTTCTCGCGGCGTCTTTCGGTCCGCGAGCAACGCGCTAGCGCGTCAGCGCGTTAGCCGGCGCACGTTCAACGCGCAATTTCGACTCGTCGCTCCTCTTCGCGCCATTCCTCGACGATGCGAGCCAGCGGATCTGAAACAGAATAATAATCGTAGAGTCGGTCGAAGGACGCGAAAGGAAGATCGTCCTGCCGCGAACTCGCGACGCGCCGCGCCGCGCCGTTCCGACTGACTCATGCTCGCCTATCTTTGGAGGCGATTTTTCGCTCGTTCGTTCGCGACGCGTCACCCGGTTGTTCGTTCGCGAAACTCTAACGATTCCCTCCTCCGTGGAAGGAGCTCGAAAATAGCCTACCCCGCCCTACGATTTCGCGTTTCATCTCCGGTAACGATCGTTCCGTACGAACGATTACGAGGCTGCAAAAATAATTAACAGAAGAAGAGCGCATTCGAACGAACGAAAAGAATCGTAAGTCGACCTCGATCGACGTTGCAGCGAGTCGTTCGCCGAGCCGACGAGTACACGCAAAACGAATAAATATGTATAAGGAAAATCGAATCGAAAGGAGATGGGCAGTTGATAAGGAGAAAACCGAATATCTAAGATAACCGAACGAGGTAGCCGCGCGGACAAAAATTACCTGGCTACTCGGGACAAAACCTTTCGATAAGATAGTCGGGAGTCTATCGTTTTTCGTTGATTTTTGGTCAGCTGCCGTTTTGGTTATCGCTCGAGGGTGCTCTTTCATCGATAGTTTCCTTTGTTCGTACACTCGAAACTCGCGTATTTACTTTTCTTTTCGCACGTCGGTCTAAGCGTTCGCGCGCTTTCGAGTCTGTAAGGCGTTAAAAATCTGCTGAAAGGAAAGAAACGCGTTAACCGCGAATTCCCGTTTGCGCTAGACTCTCGGTTATCGATCATCGAACCGGCGTATTTACGACTCCTTCTTTCGGTTTCCTTCGTTCTCCCCATCAGAACGAAACGGTAATTCGATCAAGCAGTCGACGAAAATTTTGCCGCAGAACGTAGGTCCAGGTCCTCTCGAAGCGAAAACGCCTCGACGGAACGAGGTCGCGGTGCTCGACCTCGAGAACGAGAACGAGGCGGGTAAGCAGCGAGATAAGCAACGGGACGAGTCGCGGAGACGGACGATGGGTGAAGCGGAAACGAAAGCGCACAGGGAGGGAAAGGGTTGAAAAGATAGGCGCGAGCGAGTGGCTAGTTGTTGGTAGAAGATAAAAGGGTTCGATTGAGCACCGCTGGCTCATGGCAGGGTAACGTTGGTCGTCATGGCAACCCTTCGAGCTCTCGCCCTAGGCAACCCCTGGGATCTACGAGCCGTTCGGATCGATAGCTTTTTACGCGACCGCGATCCTCGCAACCCTCGATCGATGAATCCGTTTCGCCATACGGGCCGCACGAATCCCGGATCGTGCCTCCGTCTCGAGTGGGCCATCCTTTCGTCGAAACGGACACCGATCGAGTCCTCGCGGGACAAATTAACTCGTTCTAATAATAACGTACTCTCGCACGCATTATTTTCTTACGATCCGCGTCGTCGAACGAGCAAGTCCCTTTAGAAAATTAGTCGATTCTTTTCGATAATGTCGCGAAAAAATGCGGGAACAGCTACGAACTCGCGCCGGATATCGGGAGGGTCGTGCTATACACCGGTGTACTGACAAATTTCGAGAACTCCCATTACGACAATTGTTCGCTCCAGATTTTCTACTTACGATAGAGGCGTTTTCGCGACTAACATTTTTTCACCGACGAGGGCGGAAAACGTTCGGACTTTGGTTGGATTTACATTTTCGTTAACTCCGTTGCCCCGTACGGTCGAACGCTGACGATTTCATCGTCGACTCGAGCGGACGTTAATTGCACGCGACGCGACGAGACGAGAGGAGGGGAGAGGATAGGAGACGAAACGAGACGAAACGAGACGAGAGTAACGCGAATATCGGAATCTCGCGACAGAAATACGTACTATTTGCTCTCGCGCGATCGAGCCGAGTAATTAAAAGTTGCCGATCCCACGACCCTTTCATGCTCTTTCGAATTCGCTATCGGCCGTTTTTTCGTCGCGCACCATTTGCGAAGCTCGAACAGTTGAAAAGGTCTATTTGGGAAAACGTTAGCAGCGTACTTCGCGTTGAAACGCGCGCTCGACAGAAAGAGGAAACGATCGTCGGTCGTCGCGTCGCGACTCGAACGGTCACGGTCCTCTCGAGTACTCGGTTACTTCGTTTTGGACGATGGCCAAAATTATGTAATTCCAGGGTTATGCGGTCACCGGTGCGTGGACCTTAATTAATCGAGCCGGAGTTTGCTTAGTTTCGAAAGCCGCTTGATTTCGATATTGAAAAAAATTCTCGAGTACACTGCGATAATCGAATGCGCCGCGTATCCGGCAGGAAAGGTTCGTTTAAATTTATAGCGTAACGAATTTATATTACAACATCCGTAAATAAGCTCGATTCGAAGCTGTACGTTCGATGAACACGATTACGTAAACGTTTGGTCGATGCTCTTCGTACAAATTGGAATGATTCGTCGAGACGAATTAACCGATTTCCGGTAGTAACAAATCCGTTAACAAATTTCCACTCGGTCGTATCCGAAAACGACGAAGGAACTTTCGATTTGTTACGCAGCGGTAAATCCGTTTTTGGATCGCGTTCGAAAGGTTGCAAGCTCGAAACGATACGGTTACCGTTTTAGGTGAAATTTGCGGGATTTTTGATTGGAGGCACGCGCGTCGGAAACGGTACGCGGTATACCGTTCGACGAACGCGTAAGCGCGAATTAGCGAGGAGACCGGGGCGTATCCGTTAACGAGGAAAGTGCCGTTCGACTAGAACGGAATATTCTGAGCTTATCGTAACGAGCAAGGAATACGCAGCTCGTCGATTTCGCCTTCTTCGAACGAAGCTTTTGTTCGCGTTCGTCGAAGCAACGAGCGCGAGGATACTCGCGAGCGCAGATAAGAGCGCGACTGCTTCGATTTAATCCTATTAGCACGCTTCTCTAAACAAAGCGGAATTGGTTCGAGTCGAACGGCGGCGTACGCGAGAGCGACGTAAACCGACCGAAAGAAAATATGTACGAGGTTTCCCTTCGTTCGTGACCGATTACTCGGCAACGGGGAGCACCGGAAGAAAATCGGTGGGCGAGAACTGCCTAGAGAATGGTGCGCTTTCTTTACGCGGTAACTCTCCGAGTAAACGAAAGAAGCAAACGGGGCTCGCGTCCTCGACACAGTTTCGTTTTGGAATCGATGCTCTCCTCCGCGTGGTCGGACGAACGTTTTTCGACGGCTCATCCACGCGCGGCACGCGAAACAGGGGAGAACCGGGACAGTTTTATTCGGGGCAAGATTCCAGCGAAGGATGGCAGAAATTTCGTTTCTGCCACATTTATGGTTATCGAATCGAACGATCGCGATTTTACGCTTTCGTTTCATCTTTTCTCTGTTCGTAACGCTCGAACACGGCCGCTTGTCGCGTATTCGAAGCACGCGAAGACGTCGGAGTAGCTAGTTTGGCCGTTGGCCAACGCACGAATTCACCGCGGAATCGACTAGTCGTCGTTGTTCGAATCCCAGCGTGTTCGTTGTCGGACTGTCGCGGAAGGAGAATAACTCGATTTCGATAACGCGGCCGGTCGAAAGGCGTTCGTGAGCGCGAACGAAACGCTAATCGAGATACGTCCAAGGGAAATGGCGTCCCCTTTGCTCCAGTCGTCGACGCACCCTACCTCGAAACGACTAATTCGAACGAGCTACCCCTCGCGCGGATCCTCGCGACCAAAATAATCCCTACCGTTTCTCGCAGCTGCCCCGAACGGACGCTAAAACGCGTTCCAAGGATATGCCCTTCCATAAAATCGTTGTACGCGAAACACGCTCGAGGCGTTCGACGACGACCGCGAAGAAACGTCGTCGATTGTCGCGTCGCGTACAAAGAGATCGCGTAAAAGGTAAGAAAGTATCGAAAAACTCGACGAACCGTGAGAATTGACGGCTGCGAGGCAGAGGCGTTCGTTCGGATGGAAATTTGCCAGAGACCGGGGAAGAGCGACTTTTTCGAGCGAGCAGATCGGTCGTCTAACGCGAAAGCTGACTGTCCAGAGTCGTGCAGGAATTTGCGCGAAAACGAACGTTTCCTTTCGTCGACTAGGCGGCGAAAGCGGAAACTGGTTAACCGACGAACAACCGAGTTTTTCTCGCGCGATCAAAGTTTCCCAACCTTCTCGGACCGCGGTTTCCTTTTATAATTGACTCGACCATGTTTTCGAGCGCGTTATCACCGATCGAGACGAACCAGCGAGAAAATTATCCGCGATAACGATCGGAACTAAAAATAGGCTCGTCGATCCCCGAAGAAACGCTTTGCGACCCTTCGGGGATCCTACCCTACGGCTTGGGAATCCGAGCATCGTACGGTCTGTTCTATTTCGCTAGTTTTACGCGCGAGACCCGTTCGGTTTTTAAAAGCGTCGAGACAAAACTCGGGGCTCGTTGCTCGATCAAGGCTTTCTCCCGCTCGTAGAAGAGGAAGCATAGGTCGCGGGGAGAACGAAACGGAAGGAAACTCGCAACGTCGTTGCGGAACGACGAGAGCAACAACGAACGGAACGTCGAAGAGTACGAGGTTTTTGTCGGGTCCTCGTCGCGAGTGCGGCTCCCGCTTCCATTTTCCTCCCTTCGCGCGTCTTTCGCAGTCTGGACGAGAGCACGGGTAAAAGTAGAAAGTAGAAACGCGAGTCCTCTGAACAAAGCGCACCGCGAGAACTCTAATCGAGATACGTCCAAGGGAAATGGCGTCCCCTTTGCTCCAGTCGTCGACGCACCCTACCTCGAAACGACTAATTCGAACGAGCTACCCCTCGCGCGGATCCTCGCGACCAAAATAATCCCTACCGTTTCTCGCAGCTGCCCCGAACGGACGCTAAAACGCGTTCCAAGGATATGCCCTTCCATAAAATCGTTGTACGCGAAACACGCTCGAGGCGTTCGACGACGACCGCGAAGAAACGTCGTCGATTGTCGCGTCGCGTACAAAGAGATCGCGTAAAAGGTAAGAAAGTATCGAAAAACTCGACGAACCGTGAGAATTGACGGCTGCGAGGCAGAGGCGTTCGTTCGGATGGAAATTTGCCAGAGACCGGGGAAGAGCGACTTTTTCGAGCGAGCAGATCGGTCGTCTAACGCGAAAGCTGACTGTCCAGAGTCGTGCAGGAATTTGCGCGAAAACGAACGTTTCCTTTCGTCGACTAGGCGGCGAAAGCGGAAACTGGTTAACCGACGAACAACCGAGTTTTTCTCGCGCGATCAAAGTTTCCCAACCTTCTCGGACCGCGGTTTCCTTTTATAATTGACTCGACCATGTTTTCGAGCGCGTTATCACCGATCGAGACGAACCAGCGAGAAAATTATCCGCGATAACGATCGGAACTAAAAATAGGCTCGTCGATCCCCGAAGAAACGCTTTGCGACCCTTCGGGGATCCTACCCTACGGCTTGGGAATCCGAGCATCGTACGGTCTGTTCTATTTCGCTAGTTTTACGCGCGAGACCCGTTCGGTTTTTAAAAGCGTCGAGACAAAACTCGGGGCTCGTTGCTCGATCAAGGCTTTCTCCCGCTCGTAGAAGAGGAAGCATAGGTCGCGGGGAGAACGAAACGGAAGGAAACTCGCAACGTCGTTGCGGAACGACGAGAGCAACAACGAACGGAACGTCGAAGAGTACGAGGTTTTTGTCGGGTCCTCGTCGCGAGTGCGGCTCCCGCTTCCATTTTCCTCCCTTCGCGCGTCTTTCGCAGTCTGGACGAGAGCACGGGTAAAAGTAGAAAGTAGAAACGCGAGTCCTCTGAACAAAGCGCACCGCGAGAACTAGCCGTCGCGAACGAGTCGACCCGGCTCGGCTCTTCCTACAGTTCGCGTATCCCGCACCGTTTCTACCTTCTTTCTGGAACGGACGAATTTATGTAACTCGTTCTGTCCGCGACAGTACCGTCCGAGAATCGTCGTCTTTTCGCCTATCCTTTAGATACTTCTTCCGAATCTCTCGAATCCAAAATATACGGAAATTGCGCGGTATCGACGCGAAAGAAACGTTCAGCATCTGGACCGAACGTTTCACGACTCCACGGTCCCGAATCAAGATCGACCGTTTCGCTTCGGCTTTCGACGTTTCCTCCTACCTTTCATCGAGACTCTACACTCGATTACGCTTTTCGAGCGTGCTCTTTCGAACACGATACCGATTCGTTAGCGAGGCCGGAAGAGCCGCAATGCAGGGATTAGGGCGGACCAGTGCGGGAATCTGCTCGATTTCCGCGCTATTACGAACCTATTTTCCTCGCTTCCTTGTTTTTTCCGATAAACGCCACACCATCCCGCCAACTTTTGTCGAGCGTGAACGATACCGCGTGCCATTGCCCGTATCGAACGTATCGGAGAACCGTGTTTTATCGCGTCGATCGCTCGTCTCGGATAAAACCGCGTTTCGTCGTTCGCTCGGCTTCCAAACGAGACGGCAAATATCGCTCGGAGCATGCCGAGAATACCTTTAAGGACCGACCAACGGAGTGTGTACATCGAGTAACCGGAGACGGAAGTGGCTGGATGCGGGAAGCGGAAGCGTAATCGTCGAGCCGAAAACGATTTTACCTGTCGAGGTAGAACCCGCTTCCATGATTTTCTCGTCGACCTTCGACGTTCGAAAAAGAGTTCGAGAAAGCTGAAAGATCTATTCTCGTATCGCTGTACGAAACGTTCGAATCGCGTCCACGTTGTATTCGGTCGCGACTCGAACACCTCGAAAGTTGTATAGCCGAAAGAAACGCGGCGGAAGGTCAAGCCGGTTTTTCGTTCCGCGAGAATCTAGCGATGTTCTCGGTCAGAGTTATAGGTTATGTAACGATAACGGCGACGGTCCGGAACAAGAGAGAGATTCTCGAAACACCGCGAGTGTTCGGAAGAGAAGATTTGTCGCGAAAACGATGAAGAAGACAGCTTCGTTCGCGCGTAAGGCGACGCGACGGTGACGAGTCGCGTTACGGTTACGAAGCGATACGCGTTTTCCAGCACGCTATCTGCCTTGTCCGAGAACGATATCGGTTTCGCGGTATGATTACTCTATCGCGAATCGGTCTTGCGTCGACGAGGGCGATCTTCGCCGGAACGTAAGAAACGCTAGGCGCGGACACCGCGAGACGATAGCGCACGCGGAACGAATCTTACCTCGTTTTCCATCGAACGTCATCCCCCATCGGTTACTATCCGGCGACGTTCTCGCGCGATCACACGCTACTCGACGACGGTCACACGAGCGCTTTCTTCCTGAATCGTGTTCGATTCGAGAATAAAAATCGAAAGCGCGAGAACACGATGCCGCGGCCGGCACGCGGCTACGCGACGTTCAAACGAACCGCGAGCGAAAGCTCTCACCCCGACGAAGTTCCGACCGAGACTGAGCGGCGACGAACCGACGACTACGCACCCTCGTTGCCCGTTGGGCGGGCACGTTGCAGGGCCGTACTCGAAACGGGTGTTTCCCCCGCTCGCGACTCGTCCGGTCCCTCTTCCGTCTCTCTTCCGTCTCTCTTCCGTCGATACGACGCATCCCGAGAGAATATCGACACGAACGGCCATACCCATCGCCGAGGGACTACTAGGTTGCGTCGAATTACCGGATTTTTGCTTTTCCCGCAGAACGATACGGAACGAGATTCCGCCGGCCGGCCAACCATTTTTCCATTGTTCTTCGACACCGATCAACCGGACGAACGATTTCAACGTTTTTCGATCGGTCTAACCAACGATCCTCGTTAATTGTTCTTGGCTTCGAACGAATCGAGTTCGACGTCCGATACGCTTATCGTTTATGTAGCTCGCGACCGCTCTCCCGCAGGAAACGAGCCGATTACAAAAATTTACGTAATTCCAGTCGCCGCGCCGGCGGAAAACACCGATCCGCTGTACCGATACCGATCGACCGGACGATGTATACGGCCCTGCGAGACTAGCCAAACGGGACACCCTTCGACGACGCGATCAAAGGGACTTTAGAAAATTCCCTTCCTCTTTGTGCTCTCGTTATCGCGGAAAAGACGAGTTCCTTCGATCTCGTGGCATATGCGTGCGTCGCGAGGTCGTGACGGAAGTACATTCGAAAGATTCTCGACGTCGAAGCGACGGTGTTTCGAGCGCATCGAGATCTTCGGTTCCGAAGAATCGCGCTTCCGAACGAATACATTTTGGGGTTAGCAGCGCGAACAAAGAGAAAAAGTTATCGATCGGCCGAATGCCTTCCGGGTTCGTCGCGTTTGCATGCTCGACTTTGTCGTTCATCGGCCGGTTCGTACGCGCGACGTCGAGTCGATCTCTTTCGACCTCGGCTCGCGAACTTCCTTTAATCTTTCGACTAGCGCGACAACGAAAAATGAGGGAAAACTGTTGGCTCGGGAAGAAGGGAACAGGGAGACGGCGAACGGAAGGCGAGAGGCGGAAGGGCAAACGCGAGAGCGCGGAGACGATAATTACGTAGGTATCTCGGTGAGATATTATCCGTATCCGAGTTGGCACCGTTTCGACTCTGGATTCCTGCCAGGATAAATATCGATTTTACTCCCGCGAGTCCTTTCCTCCGCTTCGCTCCGAGTTCGCGAGCCTCGATCGAGAGGTCTTCGTTCGACGCCAGCTTTTCGATTAGCCTCTTCTCTCGTCGATAGAGATTCCCGACAAATCTGTCCTTCGCCGTCAACCTTTCGAGCAGGGTTCGCGCCGTTTACCGCCACCGGTTAACCTACTTCTCGACGTTCGAAACTCGAACCGCGAACCGTCAACCGTACAACCTCGAAACCGATAGATTCGGTATCGTAACGCTCTCGTCCGATCGAGCAGTCGTTCACGCGTAATATTTGCCGACTTTTTGGAACGGTCGATCGAACGCGTTAACCGAGCGATCGAGGAGGCACGTTTTTCCAAAGCGAACTCCACCAGCCAGTTAATCGACCGGTAACTGCATCGGCTCGAGCAAATGTATCGATAACATCTATCCTCGCCGCTGCTACCGCTACCGGTATTCCTAACGAGTACTTACGTTCTTGTTCGATTTACACCGGATTAGTAGCTATCTCGTGAATTAACGATACGGTCGCCTCGTGTACGTAACACATATAGCAACGCGAACACGCCTTGCCAGACATCGATCGATCGAGACGATTCTATTTCAGATACGACGCAATCGTTTTAAGAAACGTCGCGGTTCGCTGGGACCGATATCGTCTTCGATGACCGGTTTCGCGATTTCGTCGCGACCGGTGCGACGCGTTCCACTCGTTCTAACATCGTGTACCTCTAACTCGGTACATATCGTTTAACGATTTAACAGATATAATCTTTTTCGAAAATTTTCTTTCAAATAGTAGGTGCTTTTTTTCTATATTTCGCTGGTTAATCTCGTCGCTACCTTGTGACTGAAAATTGGAAAAAATGTCCCTCGAAGTTTGCATTTTTGGCTATTCCATCGCGATGTGCGGCATTTCCACGAGCGTTCCGAGAGCGCGCTCCAGGGGGGACGTCGTCGATCATTCGCTATTCAATTAAGCTCGAGAGTAACGCGATCAACGAACGCGACTCGTAATTTCGTTATGCCTCAAAGTTTCCGGCCGTTGCCCGTACCAACGGATTCGTTCTTTTAATTATCGCGTCTATCGGTTCGACGTTGAAATCGATGGTCGTCTATCCCGTAATTTGCCGGATCTCGCTGTTTCCATGAAACTTCTTGGCCCGTTGGATCGCGTCGAACGCAGAAAAGAAAGAAGTCGACGCGAAAGAAAAGGAAGAAACGCGTAAAAACCGGAAATCCTCGATGGTGGTAGGTGTTCGAGGCGTCGCGCGACACACCCACGAGTAAGCGCGTCAGAACAGAAACCTTTCTCCGGGAAGAGCTTATCCGACCGACTCGCGAGTTGGAACACGATTTCGATGCCATCGTCGTCTCGTATCGAGATAGACCGCGCGTAATCGCGCGAAAGAGGGAACAACCATCCACGAAGGAAGTTATCGCGTCGAAAGGGAAAAATTAGGGCACAACGGCGAAAGTCGTCCCGAGAGGTTTCGCTAACGGTTACGTTTTCTTCGATGAACCGGCCCATTTTTTTGTTTTCTCTTTTTTTAATAACTTTCCCCTTCGCTAACTTTTCCCCGGGCATTTTGTTTCATCTTCGCGAACAACGAAACGGTCGAGGTTGGCAGATTTAAATGGGACACTCCGTGTACTTGTGCCACGAAATCGCTCGCGACCAAAGATAAGACTTTTCAGCCAGTTCTTTTCGAAGAATGTCCGGAATCGCGCGTGATCGCGGTTTTTCTCCGAAAACTTCGCGTCGAATCGAAAATACAAGGGACGCGATAATTGGTAGTCGTCGTATTGCCTTCGCACGCTCGAAAGAAATTTGCTGAATTTAACGATCGATCGACTGTCCTTCCGTTTCTTTTTTTCTCGATTCGAAGACCGGTTCGAGCGTATTCGCGAGTCGTGCGCTGCAAGGGCGAAGTCCTTAGCATAGGACAGGGGAAAGCGGCACCGTCGAGGCGTTGCCTGTTGGGTGCATTATGGTATTCGCGTGCCGATGCACCCATTGGACGCAAACGGTGCACGATGGTTAAAAGCTTCGCTTCGTGGCTCGTTAACGCACCGAAACAGCGATATTCGTTTGCCTGGTTAACCGAGTCCGCTGAAAATAAGAAAACGAACGATTTTCGAGCTCTCCTCTTCTACGACTTCTACCACTCTATACCGTTCTCTGTACGCGATTTCGCGGCGCACTCGTACATTAATCGTTTATTAGGAACGTTATCGTTCTCTCCGCTTCCGTAATTGGGGAAAAAGAAATATTCGACGAACAGCTCCCTTAGCGATAAAAATTATCCATCAAGTTGAAATACAAGCATAAATTTGCGGCAAGTTGCGCGAAAAGAATATTGTTTGGAACGATGATCTTCGTTAACGACGAATTTTCATCGCGAGATTTGTCGTTCGGGAATTTGTAGGAGTCCGCGAAGGCCACGCTCGACGGGGGAACAAAAGGGGTTAACCGATGGTCGTTGACGAAAACGCGCTGGCATACCGTTACGCGCTCCTTTTACCGGAATACGTTCCGCGAAGCACCCTTCTTCGCAATCGGCACCCTCGAATTCAGCCACGAGCTCGAACGCTCCCAGCGTTCCGTTTCTTTTGCTTCAGTGACGCGTGTTTTTCTTTCCCGCTCGCTCGTACTCGTCCTTCGAGCGGCACGCGCCTTCTCGTTTCCCGCGCAAACGGTCGTACGCGTTTCAACGAGCATCGGGGACGCGATTCGTCGCAGCGATCGCGAATCGATTTTACGCGAGCTTCGGACTCAAGTGCCCGTTAAGATCCTACGACTTCCACTCTCGCGTGCCGCCGAATTAATCGCTACGAACCTTTTCGGTACGTCGGTTTCAAAGCTTCTTCCTCGAGTACGCCGACAATCTTCTAATTATACCTTCGATTCTATCGGTATTTCGAATAAACGAATCGTTCGAAACTAATGTGCGATGCGCCATGCGCTAACGAGCGAAAGAAAAACAACCGCGACGGCCGTAGCATCTGGAGAATGTCGTCTGTCACCGCCTTCGAGGTTCGGCTCGTAGGACCCTTTCTCAACGGAACAGATTTTTCGGCAGTGACGCGGCATTCTAGCTTCGGACCGAGTGCAACGCGCATCGTCTTCGTTGCGAAAACGTTTTCGAAGAAACACGAGAACGCGTTATTCCAGCAGGTACCGTATTCGTAGAAATAACGAAACAGCTCTTGACCATTATCGTTCAAGTCTTGACTCGCGGTTCACTCGCCGTTATCTATCGCGTTCATTTCGCGAACTTTCGCAACAATTAATCCAAGACGTAGGAAAAATGTGGGAGCATCCCGTCTCCGTGGCGCAATCGGCTAGCGCGTTCGGCTGTTAACCGAAAGGTTGGTGGTTCGAGCCCACCCGGGGACGTGCTTTCTTTTGTCTTTTCAAACCCTTTCGCTCTAACGAGGCAAAGCGATTTCTCGTAAACGTTTATGGCACGATAACGCGTCTCTTTTTACGTATTCGTCGTCCAAAGTCTTTACGTACGTTCGTAAAATTGTTAAGAATCAATAACGCATCGGTTTTGTTGGTCGAAGGGTTGGCAAGAATTACGGTGAAATCTCGATTGTTTCTCGAATAATCGATGGTAATTAGAAGAAAGAATATTGTTTATATCATTTAATCTCGAGTCTTGTGTTTCCGTATTTACCGCTCGGTTCAACGCGTTGCGTAATCGTATTAAAGATGTATTAACTTTTAAACGGCACAATCATCGCGTGTCAATGTTTTAATCCGTTTTGAAGCGAAACTTTCTGCGCGTTTCACGTCTCTCGAACGATCAAAAGGATAAAGTGTCTAATTTTGATAACGCGGTGAAGCGATTCGACAGTGCCCGATGGATCGTGAATGAATTTTGATTGAAACGCGTCGCGAGTGCAGTGACGCGAATCGACGAAAGGCGAGTCGTATTTGTTCACGGCTGTTCCAGTCTCATCGTTTGGTACGCGTAGAGCAGAATTTTCTGTCGGATGCCTCCGATAGAATGCTTACGTTTTAAAATACATAAAAATAAAAAAAATATATTTCACCGCCCAACGTGGGGCTCGAACCCACGACCCTGAGATTAAGAGTCTCATGCTCTACCGACTGAGCTAGCCGGGCTGTTGTTCGTCGCAGCCGCAATTTTATTCAACACGCACGGTTATGACCGAGAAACGGATAAATTACTTTCATTGATACGAATGCGAAACAAATATTCGCGATCACGTGTCACCTGCTTGCAACAAGTTTCTTTCGAAACAATAAATCGTCACGTAATAATTTGTGGTTTTAACGTTTATTACCAGTGAAACGTACAATTCGCGTGTACTTTTTCCCTTCGAAAGGGTATCTAAAACGAAACGTAACCTCATGGACACATCTGTTGAAGCCGCTCGAAACTTAAAGCAACGATTCTCGCGACGCTCGAGACCTCTTGAAATTCATGCTACACAGCTCCTTCGGCGCGTTTGACCCTTGTCTTTTCAAACGCAACAGTTTTGGTCATAAATCTTGCACGTTCGAATATCGCCTACCCCCAGGCCACATCTGGGCGATGACTTTCGTGACGAACGGTTACGGTACACTCGCTAAAATATTATATGTACAGGTATTAGAATAAATCTGACTACTGAACGAGGGAAAAGTGTTGGCAAACCCAAAGTAAATAAAATATCGAGGTGAACAACGTGCACTTCGATACTGTGCTTTCTCCAAGCGAAGGGTACTTCTCGAAGGTTCAACCGTTACTTTGAAAAGAGCAGGCCACGTAATAAAAGATTGTCCTCAACCTTTTATACCAATTTTGCCGAGGCGAACATTTTTCTGCCGACCTACGGCCAGACGCGTCGGTAAGTAAAATACACAGACTTTAAGGTTCACGCGGGTCTTGCTTCTTACACCTACTCCCTTTTTTATTTTATACTTTTCCTTACAAAAGCATTTTTTTAACATTAATCTTCTTTACTCTCTTAATATAATATCAAATTTCTTTACGTTTTCCTTTTAAATACGCGTGTATTTTTTATATGGACAAAATACGATACTAATTCCTTATCACTTGCTAAATTGGGAGAGCACATCGTCTCATCCTCGATAGTATAGCGGTTAGTATCCCCGCCTGTCACGCGGGAGACCGGGGTTCGACTCCCCGTCGGGGAGTGTTTATAATTTTTGATTTTTTTTATGGCTAGTTCTATTTTCAAGATAAGTTACTCGTACTCGACAATTTACCTACCTAACTACGGGTTTATAAATAAATCAAGTATTTTAGCGGAACTTTATGCGTTTAAAGATAAAAGCACTACTCGTTTCAACCAATTTTTCTTTGGAAAAAGGAACGTAGATTTATTTTAATCCGAGACTTATATTATATTTACGGTTCTCGTGCCAGTCTGTACGAATATAGTAGAAGAAATGGATTCGTATATTTTTCCAATTATTTTTACACATATACATATCTCGTAACACGAATAATCATTTGAATAAAAATGGTACAATTTATTTATTTATAGCTCATCGGCCTCAACCGTATTATCTAATACATCATAATATGATATACGTGTAACATCGTATTTCGTATATTCGTAACGAACCGTCTTGGACGTCGCAAGTATCTCCGGAGTATTCGTGAGTATCAGTGACTCGCAACGTTTGCAACGCTCGAGTTCGGTAACTACGCTTTCCCTCCAGACGATGCAATTATATGAAATAAAATAAAGAAGCCGCTTAAATATATCGGATCGGATCGATCGCGAGACGAACGATACGAGCAAAAAAATGTCGTTTATCGACGAGGATGGGATTCGAACCCACGCGTGCAGAGCACATTGGATTAGCAGTCCAACGCCTTAACCACTCGGCCACCTCGTCTTCGCGTCAGTTTCGCCTCTAATATACAGGTGACATTGTATCAGAAATTTTTTCGGTAAATCGTAGTCGTTCGCATCGATTGAAATTCGTAGACGAGAACGTTTCCCGATCGGCGAAAGAGAGAAAAGCGCTATGTAACGCGGTTTCCTCCGGTCGAAAAATAACCTCTTACTTCGAGCACTCGAATCGTAATCGAGAAATCTTTACCGGAATTTAATCGCGAATACGATCGAACTTTCGTGCGTTACGAATCGAAAACGACATTCGATGCGAATTCGAAGGAAAAACGAGAGAGTAAAGGTTCTTTAGTTCGAAAGGAAGTTCGAAGAAATCGAAAGCGGCTATCGCTTGACTCTGTCCGTGGATAACACGCTTACGCGCGATAACGTTTTATCGCGATTACGCTAAAACTTTTGTGGCAAAAGTTTGGAACTGTTAAAAAGGAAGATGCACACGACCGGAACGTGTTCGCGTACGAACGTTCGTACGATGGAAGACACGTAATCTAGCGCGACGTAGTTTTCTGATTTATCGACGATCGTCGCGTTACATATTGTCGCTTTTGGCGACGATCGCGAATTCTGGACATCGATTCGGTGCGAATCGTGGATCAACGATCGCCCATAACCAAGAAGCAACGAGAGGGTACTTTCTCCGTGAGGCAAGTGGTTTCCTCCAAGGTGCCAAGATTGGCTCGTAAAAGAACATCGGCGATTATCTTCTCGGCGATGATGCTCTGGCGAGGCATCGATTTTCTCAATTTGCTGGCCACGTAACGACCGAACGTTTCGAAATCATCGTCCGTCGCGCGGCTAGCGAACGGTTTCGGCGAAAGTTCGCGATTCGATTCCCTCGTTTGACGGTCTTGATAAGTTTCCAGCTGACATTTCCTTCGAAAGGGCTCGGTCGTCGTGGAACAGGAGATTCTTCTCGCGTACGAACCCTCGGTTTCCAAGATCACGGGCTGGAAGGTCGGGACCGGGCTAGCTTCCGGGGTCGGTACGGGCGACGGTGGCTCGATCTTGTCTACGTCGGTATGCACGGACTAGAAAAACGTAATTCGACGCTTGTATCCAAACGATTGAAAAAAGATGGGGAAAGTTAGATTTCTGTTAGCCGCGTTCCGGGCAGAAAAGATCGAATTCGACGAACGTCGCACGATATCTCGCGCGTTCGCGAGATACACCTGGCGAGATGGTTCGCAACGAGCGTTGCCAGCTTTGTTTCCGATTTACGTGTAATTTCCTGCGTGTGGCGGCCGTCGAGTTTTCGGATCGATAAAGGACCGCGAAGAGAAAGAGAGCGTTGACGCGAGGGTAGAAAGAGAAAGAGGAGAGAGAGAGGGAGGGTACGAATAGGAGAAGGCGGAAGAGGGAGGGCTCGTCGCATCGTAGACGCTTCGCCGGTAAAACGTCCGTCGAAGCGATCTCGACGAGAACGAGTTGGAACACGATGCTCGAAATCGCGAGAATCGTCGATCGTCGATAGGGCAGATATCGCGCGACTTTCGAGGAACGTCGTTCGAACGAGAAAAACGTATCGCGCAGTCTCGGTGACCGGAGAGAAAAAAAGAAACGTTCGTACGAGGTCGTACCATCTCCTCTTGACAGAGATCCATCGATGCCGTAGCGTTCGCGAGGTCCCTGTCCTCGTCGTCGAACGGGCTCGCCTCGTTCTGCTCCGCGACGAATTTTAATATATCGTAGTACCACAACGAAGACCTGTACCGTTGTCGAGGATTTTTAACCATCTTTTGAGAGGTTCGCACCTTCTTGTACTCTCTTCTGAACGCGGTTCTAAGAGTGTTGATCTTTCGTATGACGGTCTCTCTGTTCGCGATCGGATTCACTTCCCTCAATTTCTGCACGAGCGCGTCGTAAGCGCGGTTTCTGAGCAACCTGTCCTTGTATCCTTTGTACCTGACCTGCCACAAGCAGGGATAGCTTCGGTACAGCTGAATGAATTCCGCTAAAAAATCGTGCGTGTAGCCGACCAAATCCGACGACGACATCGTTGTCTCCTTATTCTTCGTGCTGATCCGCTCGGAGATTTATTCGATCCGTCGTCGACGCGGCGAACCGTGAAACGCTAACAGCCTCGGCTCTCGACGATCGACTGAGGAGCCAACGGTCCCCCGAATCCAGACCGATCTTCTTAGCCGCTTCTCGAACGGACGATCCTCGATCGCCGGACACGGTATCTACGCGTTTGCTCAAACTACGCTGTTGCCGGATCGTTTGCGTTCGACTGCACCCATGATCGCACCAACGCAACGCGACGCGACGCAACGGTCACGTGAACCTTCGCGATAACTCGCCCGCGCTTTTCGATACGCGCCAACGAGCCCCGCGACGCTTTTGTCCAGAATTTGTTCGCTCGAAAGAAAGAATACGCGATGAACGGAGAATCGTCGTACGATGTTTGCGCATACGTAAACTCGAGGGATCCTCGTTCGGGAATATCTCGAAACGCGAACGTTTGACCGATTCTTTGGAGCCGAGACTGTTCGCGTTTGATCGCGTTCGAGTCGGTTTGCGCAAACTCGACGCGGCGTGACGCAACCCGACGCAACTGGACGCGACGCGACTATCGTCCAATGGAAGTAATTCCCCACTGCTGTTGCCAACGTGACTGCGCAAACACGTTTCGCGAGTTCGTCGAGTGCGACAGTTTATGCATCGCCACGCCTCGACTCGCCGCGTTCCCCGCTCCGTATCTTTTCGTTCTTAACGAAGACCCGCCGACGTCGAATTCGCCACGGCGTTCTTTGGCGAACGCGCCGTCATCCGTATCGCTATCTGTCTTACCCTTTCGTCGACTCTTTCTCTCGTAAAGCGAGCAGAACGATTCGTGAACGGTTCCACGTTGCCGTTTCAGACTTCTTGGATCGCGCGATCGGGTTAAACGACGTTTCGAGCGAGGAAGCGCGCGCTCATCGTATATCGTTGGTTGGTCGCAACCTCGTGACCGGGCGACCTTTAACGCGTTCGCTTATCGCGAAATTGACGATCGAACTTTACGGCGCATTTTCGCGACATTGACCGCGATGTCGGTGAATCGCGGAAAGCTCGTCGGGAAGCGTGACGCTTGTCGCGGGGTTGCGAAACGTTGAAACGGGCCGCGGCAATCGCGTGCTCGAAGGCCGGTTTTGCCAGATTGGAAGACGATAGCGGGCATTTGCGCGAACCTTCGCGCCATATAAGGTACAACCGGCGAATCCGCCGTTCGAGAGCGACGCAGCGCCGATCCTTCGCGACGGCCTTGTATTCTCGGGGTTGCTCGTTCTCTCTTTCGAGCTAGCTATTTTTCCCAATCTTTTTTGCCTTTCGTCGTTTTACGTAACCGCTTTCGAGCGCGGCGCCGAAACGCTTTCCCGCCGAGATACGCGATTCGCGCGAACGCCTCGATGTCTGGTTTTCGCGTAGCGCGCAACCGGTACAACGAAAATGTGTCCTCGCTGTCTCTAGTTTGAAAGCGTGACTATCGTAGTTATCTAGGCATACTTTTATTCGCGGCAGAACCACGCGAATTCGTTGGTAGGTAGCTATGTAAGTAGGTAGGTAGGTAGATAGAAACTGGTAGGTAGGTGCCGGGGTAGGCGCCGCGTCGCGTCCCGTCGAAGAACGCTGGCGCCGCTACCAACGCGTTTCTCTCCCGAGAAGATCGATTTAACGCGGGACTATCGAGATTCGCGAACGAACGCGTAGAAAGTGGCGAGCTGCAACAAACCTGTAGCTATCTACGCTTCGAAGGTGTCGCGTTCTTTGGCGAACGCGCCGTCATCCGTATCGCTATCTGTCTTACCCTTTCGTCGACTCTTTCTCTCGTAAAGCGAGCAGAACGATTCGTGAACGGTTCCACGTTGCCGTTTCAGACTTCTTGGATCGCGCGATCGGGTTAAACGACGTTTCGAGCGAGGAAGCGCGCGCTCATCGTATATCGTTGGTTGGTCGCAACCTCGTGACCGGGCGACCTTTAACGCGTTCGCTTATCGCGAAATTGACGATCGAACTTTACGGCGCATTTTCGCGACATTGACCGCGATGTCGGTGAATCGCGGAAAGCTCGTCGGGAAGCGTGACGCTTGTCGCGGGGTTGCGAAACGTTGAAACGGGCCGCGGCAATCGCGTGCTCGAAGGCCGGTTTTGCCAGATTGGAAGACGATAGCGGGCATTTGCGCGAACCTTCGCGCCATATAAGGTACAACCGGCGAATCCGCCGTTCGAGAGCGACGCAGCGCCGATCCTTCGCGACGGCCTTGTATTCTCGGGGTTGCTCGTTCTCTCTTTCGAGCTAGCTATTTTTCCCAATCTTTTTTGCCTTTCGTCGTTTTACGTAACCGCTTTCGAGCGCGGCGCCGAAACGCTTTCCCGCCGAGATACGCGATTCGCGCGAACGCCTCGATGTCTGGTTTTCGCGTAGCGCGCAACCGGTACAACGAAAATGTGTCCTCGCTGTCTCTAGTTTGAAAGCGTGACTATCGTAGTTATCTAGGCATACTTTTATTCGCGGCAGAACCACGCGAATTCGTTGGTAGGTAGCTATGTAAGTAGGTAGGTAGGTAGATAGAAACTGGTAGGTAGGTGCCGGGGTAGGCGCCGCGTCGCGTCCCGTCGAAGAACGCTGGCGCCGCTACCAACGCGTTTCTCTCCCGAGAAGATCGATTTAACGCGGGACTATCGAGATTCGCGAACGAACGCGTAGAAAGTGGCGAGCTGCAACAAACCTGTAGCTATCTACGCTTCGAAGGTGTCGAAAGAGCGTTTCGCGTTATCGCTATAGTGAAACTCGATATTCTGCCCCGATATTCGTCTCGATGAACGTAGCTTCCGCGAACAACGACCGATAGAGTAATTCGAAATGAGCTCGCGAATCGCGAAAAGTAGCGCGCGAAATTCCATTTGTTTTCGAGCGCGTTGTATTCGCGTGACGTACGAACGTTCGCGATATTAAGCATTGTCTCGAGACTCGAGAATGTAATTGTCTCGATCGATCGAGCGAGCCAACGGGCGAACGAACGGAATGCGTCGGTTGCCATTGTCGTAAGGTCGGTCGAGTTAATTAGGTACGACTGGCGCGAGAGTCTGTTCGTATCGTAGTAGCGTTCGAACACTTACTTCGTGTCATCCAACAGGCGGTCCTTTTTTCCAGATCCTCGGAAAATTTCGCTTCTCTTCGTTCGCCGATCCTACAAACGGAATAATAAACTCGAGGCGAACATTGCTACGCTCGTTCGGTGAAACGTAATTCGAAACTTTGAACAGTCACTTTCTCGACGTTTCGTCGAAAACGAGTAAGTGTAACCTTTCGAATCGCCTCGATGTTTCGGACGTTGAATTAACGACTCGAAAATTGGCGCGCAAACACGAATCACGTTGGAATGTACCGCTTCCGACACTAGCTAAAGTCTCACTGACGAGCCACCGGCACCAAGTTTGAAGCCGCCTCTCTCCGTTCGTTCCACTGCCCCAGGCTTCCGTTCGCTTTCGCGAGTCCGCTCGGTTCGCGTCCCCTGTTCCTTCTTCCGTCGCGACGCGTTCTTTCGTCGATCGGATCGATTATACGATCGTTAGCGCTTCTTGCGAGCGATCGTCGTTGAAAGATTCGTTCGCGGGAAATACGCGAATCGAATCGCGAGGAACCAGAAGGAAAAATAAGAAATGCGAGTCGAGTTACGCTACGAGACCAGTTTCATCGGATACGCGACGCGACAGCTTTTTTCTTACGAACGGTGCGTCTACTTTTTCAGACGGTAGGTACAGATCGAGAAAGAATAGAAATCGAGCGCATCCGTGTTCTTCGTGTCCTTCGATCGAACGTGAACGATATTCCTTGCAACTCTGAAAGGAGAGAGACGTCGACGCAAAGAAAAGCGGGTAGCGATCGCATTTTTCTCCGCGATCAAAGGAAATCGTGTTGCCAACGATCGCGTCGAAACGTTTTCTTTACGACGATCGTTACTACGATGCGTGCAGAAGCGGGAATGCACGGAGGAGAAGATATTTCGTAGGTCCGCGTGTTGCGGCAAGTCGGAAAAGCGTTGAGAAGACTCGGTTCGTTCGGTGGCGAAGAAAAGGACGAGAAGGTAGAAACAGGAAAAAGGGAATGGATCGATAAACGGAGGGCAGAAAAAAGAACGAAGGATAAAAGAAGAGAAACGGCGAAAGACAAAGAGGACGATGCTAATCCTCTTTGTATGGAAAAACCGAGTGGTCGAGCAGACTGCGAGGCAGACTTTCGAATAAGCTATTCAACTGGTGCAATATACCGTGCAAATACAGCGCATCCCGTCTAGACGACGCGGCATTTCTATCCGAACGAGAAGTTACCTCGTTATTTCGCGAATTCTCATGGAATAGAAGTACCGCGAGTGCCGGTGAAAAGAAGATACGAGGTTCGAGGTAGGTTAAGTAACCGAAAGTCCCTCGAAGAACGATCGGCGCTCCTCTAATTCCTATCCGTTCCCTTTCGGTCGGCCAGTATGGAAACTCGTCGCGCGAAACGCCTCTCAACGGCGAAGGGAATTACCTGTTGCCCGTTCTTCGTTATGGAACAAAAGTTCGCGATCTCGTCGCTGATATCTCTCCCGATCGATTCTTTTCGAGGGTCTCGCGTCTCGGCCAACTTTTTCCCAAATATGTATTTTTCGATCAGAGAAGGTAAGTCTACTTAAAAGCTCGAGTCGAACGACGAGCTCGTTCATTTTTTCCCGATAAAGGGTTCGGAGCCGTCGACCGTTAAACGAGAGAGGGAGTAGCGACTCGAGTAGCAGAATATCGACGAGAAGGTTAAACCGCGTAGAGATTCGACGACTAGCGGCATACCTAATAACCTGATTTAATTAAATTCGAAACGATCCCCGATGTCCAATAACCGCGACGTAGCGGCGAATGGTGAACAATCGAGAAACTGGTACAAACTCGATTCAGACGACTTTATCTTGGCATGGAACGTACACGTAGCTATGCACAATACCTTTCTATGGAAGGTTGATATATTCCATGCATCGTTGCTAGGATGTCGATCGAATGTGCATCCTGACAGATACACCAGGACGTTCGTTGCAACCGATCTCTGTCTGTGACGCGGTAGATAGAATTGCGGCTCCCTTTCGACGCACGATCGATCAATTTTCTTCGTTCGATTCTATCGAATTACCAACGCGCGTTGCGAATTTCGAACGAACGTAACAGGGAGCACGATCGATCGATGTATTCGAAACTGCGTATCGGTATCTAAATTATCTTTCTCGACGTAGCCTATTATCTAACTAGATTCACTGGGAAGTAACTCTCGTGCAAAACGAAAACACGATTACGCTGGTTTTTTTATGTATCGCGAACTATCCCGACGAGTCTATGAGATGTATCGCGTATTCGAGAGCTTCTCGAAAGATTATAGCGACGCGAACGTCGCAGTCGCGTAGGAAAACACAATAGGCTCCGTCAGAGAGCAGGTATTGTGTTTGAAGCGATGCACGCAGGATGCATTTCATCGGTGACGTATCCTCGTGAAACGAAGAGATCAGCGTTTTTTGTTGCTAGAAGAACGGTAAGAGAACGATTTCAAAGTCGTCTCGATGGTTCGCGAACGATTCGTTGACGAAAGCGTTTCCGCTTTTATTTATGCGCAGCGTTCTCGCTCGATCGTTATCGATGCTTTCCCAACAAGGCCGGAATCTTCGTTAAGAAACAACGATGCGTTTCGCGATAATTTCGTGCGAGTGTCTAAATTATACGAATCGATCTACGTAACGATACCGCGATTCGTCCGCGTATTCGATTCACCGTTTGGTCGGAACGAGAAATGGGAGGAAGCGGTGTAAGCGGCCGAGAAAAGAGAACTGTTCTCGAAAAATGGATACGAAGGGGAATAGAGCAAAGAGCGGGCGGTTATTGAAAAAATACGATTGTTTATTTTCTATTCATAAAATTACAATTCTTACATCTTAAAAAGGAGGTAAATTAAATTAACCGAAGAAGGCAACGTCGTTGGAGCCCTCGGTCGTGCAATTCTGAAGTAACGATGTAGGGTTTGACGCGTTGCCGGCACCCTGTTCTACCCCTGTTGCGCTTTCACCTCCGCCCCCACCATCGTCACCAGCGTCACCACCTCCAGCACCACCTCTAGCGGCGCCGTTGAGAGATTCGTTGGTGCCGGAACCGACACCGGTTCCCATGACTCCACCAGCGTTCGCCGTTCTCGGAGGTTTAACGTCCTGCGAGCTTTCGTACGTTCGATTCTGTTGGTTCTGACAATTGATTTCGTTGTAAACGAGCTCCTGAATTTTTAACCTAACGAACATTTGTCTATCGAGCGGTAAACTCTTGAGGGGATTCCGAACGCTCATCAGAAAGTGATAAGTATCGTCTTCTTCCTCTTGAGACGCGCTTAACCTCTTCTGCAACGACTCGAATCTTTTCCGATCGACGTCGGAGTAATCGTTGTCCATCGCGTCCAACAGCGTTCTCTTCCTACCGATTTTGCTCAATTTCGGCGGAGGCATAACTTGATGCAAAGCATCGTCGTTCGAAAGCAAAGACTGACAAGAATCGCCGTCCAGATCGTCGAATTGAGTTTCCTCGTGACCTTCCAGAATGTCGATCTGCGGTTCAATCTGTGTCCCTACGGGCGACGAGCGAAGAGCCGCCGAACAATTCTGAGGAATGGTACAACCGATCACCCTGGAGTTCATTTGATCTCGCAGGAAGAACAGGCTTTTGAACCAAACCCACTTGGAGTCGTGCTCGTTGGCGCCACCGTCGCATTTTCCTCGATAAGTTTTCTTCAATTCGTTGCGAAAATTGTCCCGTAAGTGCTTCCATTTCGATTTCGCGATGTCCGCTGGAAACGAACAATGCGATCATTAGCTTTTGCCTCGGGAGACCGGTGAGAATTCGCGCGAGTAACGTTTCGTTTCGTTCGACGATCGCGGAATTCGCAGCGAAGGAAAAATCCGTCGAACAACGAATTCGCGCATCGGGATTTTCAGCGTCGCGCGACGTTTTCGGCCACCTAATCGTTCGGAATCGGACGCGCCGCGACCTCGCACGGAACATCGTACGAACCAGCCGCGCGCTATCGACGTTCCAGTTGGAATCCTCCTCGCGAAGATCAATCGTTGCTCGCGACGCGCAACCGATTCGAAGAACCACGGTAACGACGCGACGAATCGCTACGTTCCTGGGAAATGGTCTCCGAATGTGCGCGACGAACGAGAAGACCCAGCGATCGTATATTTGCAGGAAAATCGACGGTTACTCGAGTCCGTGGTAGTATCTCGATCGGTACTCGTACACGATCGATCGACGAACGAGAGACCGCGCGCGTACCTGTCACGGATGGAAGAAGAGTGTGGGCGAGAAAGATGTAACGATAGATGGAGGGGGAAGGGGGATGGTAGAAGCGATTAAAAAAGCGGTAGAGGGAGGGAAAGAAAACGTAGAAGGGGTAGTAGCGGAGGTGAAAGGGAGCGGAGAGCAGTGGAGAGGAGAGCGACGCAGGCGCGAACGAAGAGGCGGAAAGAAGAGAGCGAGGCGTATACTCACTGGAGACCTCGCAAGCCCTCGCGATCTCTCGCCACATCTTCAGGATGACGTCGCGATTGTGATAGTTGACGTTCTTCTGGTCCCAGATCGCGGGTCTAGCGTGCACCTCTGTGATCAGTCTCTGGAGATCCATCGTCATCGCGTTCCTACGGGCGGTCGCGTTGCATCTCCTGGACGATCGCTTGTTGGCGGTTCTACGATTGAGAAGCGTGATGCCGGAGCTAAGGGAGGAGGCAGCCGCGCGCGAGCTGCTTCCTCCTCTGGTTAAGTTTCGTTGAGATTCGTTGGTGTGCGAAAGCCGATTTCTTGGCTGCTGCTGTTCTTCTTTGCCAGCGAGGATCGTGTCCAGAGTCCCGCC